TTCTATTTTTAGTAGAGACGGGGTCTCGCTCTTGCTCAGGCTGGTTTCGAACTCCTGAGCTCAAACAATCCACCCGCCTCGGCCTCCCAGAGAGCTAGGATTACAGGCGTGAGCCACCGCCCCCAGCCGACTCTCCATTTTTTAACAGAAACGTTTGAGGTTTTCTCTGGGACATAACTGCAAAATTAAAGCAACACACAGAGTAGGTGGCTTGCCATCCCCACCTGCCCTGTCACTGTGGGTGACCATTTTGGTCTTCCTCTCCAGACCTTTCCTACTTTGGGACACCCGTGGTCCTTTCATCCTCGCTGGTCCGTGACTGTTTTCCTGGCACCTGCCTATGGTGTTGTCATTGCAGCAGGGTGGGGTGGGTCCCTCTGCAGCAGCTTCTGAGAATTATGTGGTTTGGATGACCGGTGGCTTCACCCTCCTGTCCCCACTGCTGGACAACACTGAGCCATTTTCCCTTCTGCAGGGAACAGATTGACAGGGCTCGAGGTGGTGCCTGCATTTCTGCAGGTTTGGGACCGAATCCTAGGAGTGGAACGACTGGGTCAGAGGTCAGCTCAGTTCACATTCTGCGGGCTCCTGCCAGATGTCCCCATGGAAGCCTGCGGACATAGACAGGCCTGGGGCAGGGTTTCTGCTGGGCCTGGTTGTGAGAGCTCCCTTCCTACTGTCTTTCCAGAACCTGCTGTCTGCAACAGCGGCAGCCCAGCTTCACCCACCCCGCAGGAAGGCTTGGGACAAGGTCTTCTCCAGCACTACTGGGGCACCATCTGGTGGGACAGGCTGGGGTTTGGTGCAGACAGAAAAGGCATCTCTTTATGTGCCCACACAAACCTGTCCCCAGGCCACCCACCCCTCCTCCATCCCCCCCACCTCTCCTCCCACTCCCATGCACTCACCCAGCCCACCCATCTTCCCCTCTTGGGGTGAGTAGCACCCAGCCATGCCCTCTCCACCCTGTCCTCCTGTCCTCCCACTCTCCACCTGCTCACCCATCCCCCTACCCGGCCACCTGTACCAGGTGTTCATTACTGCGTAACAAGTAACCTCAACGCTTAGTGGCTTAAAAAAAAGCAAGGAAAGGGGAAAAAAGTGAGCAAATATCGAAAGGATGGTGGGGACATGACAAAAGAAGACAGAAGGCAGCTTGAATGCACTCCCACCAACCAGATCTAGGACAATTTGAGCAGCAATACAAATGATAGCACAGGATTATAATCCACTGAATAAAGTGAGAATCCATGAGTCCGTATGATGGAGATGAGAAAATGAATGAGTCCCGACACGAGAGAGCCAGCAAACAGATGCGGAAGGGAGGGAAGGAGGGAAGGTCCTTCTGCCACTCCGCACGAATCTCAAGTGTAAAAACTAGCAAGAGCTTGTGGGGTAACGGGGTATTTACCTGGTCTCGGCGTATACTACGCTCATTTCTTATATATGCACTAATTACTAAGGGGGAATTGGTAACCTTAGAATGGAGAAATCTGGCAGGCATCACCTTAACCAAGTGATCCAATTAACTTTGCCAGTAATGGGATGAATCAAAATTAAATTGCTATTGTGTATTGTGTACCTCCTGATGTCACACACTGAGAACACAGCGCCACTGTGGTCTTCCGGCCGGAAGTGCACAACCCAAACAAACGTAACCCTGAGGAAAAAACCCAAACAGAGGGCAAGCCCACAAAACACTTCCAAACTGTCATGGTCCCAAACTACAAAGGAACACGCAGGAATTGTGCGAGGCCGGAGGGTCCCAGAGAGGTACGGCAGGGAAATGCAACACAGGACCGTGACTGTGTCCTGCTGGATGAGATATTTTTGGAACAATAGATAAAGTCTTGTTAAGGCCTTAGCTTAGCAAACAGTATTGTTTCAGAGTTAGAGTCTTGATGTTGATGATCGTACTATTGTCATATAAGAGAATTCCTGGTTTTTAGAAAACACACACCGGAGCGTGCAGGGATAAAGGGAATCTGCAACTTAATCTTGAATGGTTAGGAAGAAAAGCATGAATGGAGACAAAAGGAGAAGGCAAAGGCAGTAGACCGTTACATTTGGCAACGCTGGGTCCAGGAATTTACATTATTCTTGCAAATTTTCTATGAAGCTTGAAGTTACGTCAAAATTTAAAAATGTTTTAAATAAAACCTTAGTGACTTAAAATAACAATTGTCATTTTGCTCATGAATCTGCAATCTGGGCAGGGCTCTGTGGAGACAGCTTGTCTCTGCCGCGTGGCCTGAGTGGGGGTGTGTTGGGGCTGGTGCAGCGTGGTGGGCCCGGGTTGTCTCTGGTAGCTCAGGGAGCTGTGGGCCGCCCTCGGTTCCTCTCCACAGGATGTCCTGGGCTTCCTCACAGCACAGTGCTGGGCTCCACGGTTCCTCTCCACAGGATGTCCTGGGCTTCCTCACAGCACAGTGCTGGGCTCCACGTGGGAGCATCCCAAGAGACAGGAAGTGGAAGCTGCCAGTTTCTCGAGTCCCAAGCCCAGAAACTGCCAGCATGACATCTTCTGTGTACGCAGCCACGGAGACCAGATGAAAAGGGAGGTATCAGAGACCCCACCTGTTGAGGCCAGGAGCGCCACAGAATTTTGCAGCTGTGATTTAAAACTACATATCACCCATCCACTCTTTTTCTTCAATTAACATCTTTATTGAGACAGAACTCATCTACCATGAAGTCCACCCTTTTAAAGTGTACAATTCAGTGGCTTTTAGTATATTCAGAGTTAGGCATCCATCACCACTATAGCATTCTACAACATTTTCATCACCCAAAATGAACTCCCGCGAACCCTTTAGCGGTCACGCCCCACTGTCCCTCCCTCAGCCCCTACAACCACTAACCTACTTTCCACCTCTATGGATTTGCCTCTCTCGGACATTTCAAATAAAAGGCAATCATACAATATGTAGCCTTCCGTGACTTTTTCTTGTATTTTGCATAATGTTTTCAAGGCTCGTTGGTGTTGTAGCACGCATCAGCACTTCCTTCCTCTTCATGGCTGAGTAACATTCAGTTGTACGGATACACACGTGCCACATTTTATCCACCAGCCGGTGACATTTGTTTCCACCCTTTAGCCACTGTAAAGGTGCGGCTGTGAGCATTTGTGTACAGGTGTTTGCTTGGACACCTGTTTCTTTGGGGCGTACCTAGAAGCAGAATGGGTGGGTTGCGTGGTGTGTCTATGTTTGCCCGTGAGAGTTGCTGTTGGCTGTTCTCCCAGCAGTTGCACATCCCCCACCCCCACCACACTGTTGCCAGCACCTTGCCTGTCTTCTTGGCTGTGGCCATCCACTTCTAGCTGCTCAGGGAACACAGGTCTTCTGAGCACTTTCTCCGTACCTGGCCCTGAAGACCTGGAAGTGGCTCCTCTCTGTCCCCCAAGACCTCATGCACCAGTGGAATGTGGGGGTCTTTCACTCGTCAGCCCAGCCCTGGAGTCACAAGTGCCCTAGTAGGTGGGGGCCACAGGGTGGATGGGGGACAAGGATCCTTGTGCATCCTGGGCTGCAGACAGGCATGGCCTGAGCTCATTGACCAAGTCTTGGTGGCTGGAAAGTGCCAAGGCCACCTGCCCTAACACCTCCTGCCCCCACCCACAGCCCACAAGGGCAGATGAGTTGCCGGCTGGCGGCTGGGTCTAAGGCAGGGTCTAAAGGCATTAGCCATCTTGGCCTCTCTTCTCTGTGGCTGAGCTGCAGTCCCTCCTGCTCTTGGCTCCAGGGCTCCAACAACAGCCTAGAAGGGGCACAGAGGCAGATGGCCGGGGCTCTGGGCAGACCTGGACTCAGCTTTGCACCCAAGGGCAGATGAGTCCAAGCACTTGAGCTCTGAGGAAGCAGAAGAGAGAGCCAGGCCTTCCTTCCTCCAGCTCCCTCCCTCAATGAGCACTGTCCTCCGCCCCCAGTTGAGAGCAGGGATTGGGCCACAGTCTCCCAGGACCTCCTATCCTGCTTCCTGGGGGCCCGCGGTGCTGAGCTTTGGGAACAATCAGATAGTATGGGCAGCCCATGTGTGCAGAGGGCCCAAAGCATCAGGCATTTCACAGGGATTTTCTGACTTAGATCCTTACACTGCCCCCAGCGCCCCCCAGACGGGACAAGGCGGACCCCCACCCGCACCGGGGAGGGCAGCGACTCCACATCCTACCAGGGAGGGCAGCCAGCTCTGAGTGACGCTCCTGTGTGCCGGGTGCCCCTCCTCAGACCGCTGGGGCCTTTCCTGTCCTCACCCCAGGGCTGCCCAACCTCGGCCCAACTTCCAGCGGGAGCCCCTGGAATCCCTGGGATCCTTTGCTCGGAGAGCGGACACGCAGCGGTGCTGTCGCAGGGCCGAGCCTGCTCGCTGGGGGCCGTGGGAAGCACGAACTCGGGCGGGGACTCCCCACTCAAACCGTGCCCGGCGTCCAGAAGAACGTGCTCCCGATCAGGACACCGACGACAGGGTCCCGAGCCCCTTCTTACAGCATTTACTTTTAAAAAAGCCTGCAGTCGTGATCCTTCCTCTGCCCTAGGCGCAAACGTGGTTTGCGGCAGTCCGGGGTCTTTCTCGGCACCTGAGGCCGCTCCGGTGACAGCCGTGGTCGGAGCAGCGCCGGGTCCCCGTGGACAGTCTGAGGCCCCGCGGCCTGTCTGGGCACCTGAGCCCTCGCCCGGCCCCTCCTTCCCGCCGTCCCGCCGCGGCCACACGCCCCTCGCTAGCAGAGAGCGGCCATCAAGCCCCGGGACCCGGGCAGGACTGGCCCCCGAGCCTCCCGACCCCCCCCCGCCGGCCCCCGGGAGCGCGGCTCGGAGCCCCAACCCAGCCGCCCGGCCCAGCGCCCGCCGGCCCCCGCCACCAGGGGGCGTTGCAGGCACCGCAGGCCCCCTCGCCTTCCAGCCTCCCGTCGCGCTGTTTTGCTTCCTGTGATTCCGGAAGTCGGCCCTCTGAGAGTTATGAGATCTGCTTCCGGTTCCGGGTGACCGTGGATGCGGCGGGCATCCCGCCGCGACGGGCAGGAGGTGAGTGGGGCGTGGCGCTGGGCGCCTAGCTCCGGGACTCCCCGGGTTCTGCGCCCCGCCGTCCGTGCCGTCTGCTGCGGCCTGGCCGAGCCCTTCCCGGCGGGCCGGAGTCGGGCCGTGCACCCCCCGCAGAGCCGCCCGCGGGGTAGGCTCACGCGTCCCTGGGCGCCAGGCGCCTGCGGTAGGGGAGCAAATGAGTGAATGGATGACTTCGTGCTGACCACCTCTTCAGGTGACACATCAGCAGCTGGACACGCGAGGGGAAGGGGCAGGATGAACCGGGCCAAGCCCACCACCGTCCGGAGGCCCAGCGCCGCGGCCAAGCCTTCAGGTGCGTCGCTTCTCCCCGTTCTTGCGCTGGGGGTCCTCAGGGTTTCTCGGCTGCCGGAACCTGCCTTGCAGCTTAGTCGTTCAGCAGCAAAGGCTATTTCCAGGAATGGGGTTTGGAGAAACAGCCCTTGGTCCTAAGCGGCTCTAGGAGTCCCTGGGAGAGTTGGGACAGCTGCGATTTCTTGGGGACACTAGTTATCTGGCTTCAGACTGAGCGTCGGAGGCAGCAGATAGTAGTGGGAGGACCTCCTGTGCCAGGAGGCAGGAGGCAGCACAATATAGTGGTTAGAAGGATAGAGTCTGGAGCCAGACTGCCTCAGTTCAAATCCTGGCTTTGCCACCCACCTGCTCAGACACGTAACCCACTTGATGTCTCTGTAAAGTGAGAACAATAGTACCCATCTCAGAAACTTGTTGAGGATTAAGCAAAGTAGCACGTGTCAATTGGAGACGGCCTGATTCATAGCAAGCACCGTCAAACTGTCAGCCGTCACTCGTGTCAACATCCTCCCAGTCCCAGCTCTGCTGTTGACTTACTGAGTAACCTCAGGCCTGTTTCTTGCCTCCTCCGACCCTTGTTTAATCCCCTCGGAAATAACGGGACAGTGGAGTCAGTCTTTTTCCACCTTGGGTGTTGCAAATGTGCTGGTTTTTTTCTCTCCCTTCTTTGCAGGGCACCCTCCCCCAGGAGACTTCATTGCCCTGGGCTCAAAGGGTCAGGCTAATGAGTCGAAAACGGCGTCCACCTTGCTGAAGCCAGCTCCTTCCGGCCTGCCTTCGGAGCGCAAGCGGGATGCTGCGGCTGCTTTGTCTGGTGCCTCCGCTCTGACTGGCCTCACCAAACGCCCCAAACTCTCCTCCACACCCCCTCTGAGTGCCCTGGGGCGCCTGGCCGAGGCTGCAGTGGCAGAAAAACGAGCCATTTCTCCCTCGATTAAAGAACCATCTGTGGTACCTATTGAAGGTAAAGTCAGTTGGTGGACTTCCCCAGAGAATGTCTCCCACACCCTGTCAGTCCACTAGGTGTTCAGTAAAGGCCACCTGCAGGCCTCATGCCATCTGGTTGGCATAGGTCCTGGGGGATAAAGGGTGTCTGTAAATTTGTTCTCATGTGGGTGCCTTTACTCCACTTGCACTTTTGAATTCTGGACTGCCAGTAGCCATCCTTTGAGAACTGGTTCACTCCCTTGTGTACCCGACGTGTCCGTTGAGCCACTGCCTTTGTGGCAGGTGCTTTTCTGAGCCCTGGTGGCGATAAGGATGATAAGGATGTAGAGGCATCCTTATTCTCAAGGTTGTGTATTCTAGTGTATTTATGAACCTGAGAGGTGATTTGCACTGTTTATCCTTTTTTCCTAGTTATTAGCAGTGAAGAGTTTATTCCCTCTTTTTCTCAGTCGAAAGGCAGCCAAGTCATCAAAGGGAAATCTAAGCTTCATCCATGATCCCGTTGCTCACGCAAATCCTTTTAATTTGGCATCTGTCTAAAATTGGCCCTGCTTTTCTACAGCATTTTGCCAGTGATCATTTTTAATGGCTCATTGTTAGCTTGTAGAGTAGACCTGTTTACTGTCAAATCAGTGCAGCTGTTGAGCATATAGGGCAAACCTTCTTTGTATATTTTTTGTGTCGGAGCATTTCTTTAGGGTAATTACTTTGCATGAGTCAAAAAAGAACAAGCGTCCTGATGACTTTGGTAATGATTTATCTATTAAAGTTAGGCAGCCACTTGTTCAGTCTTGTCATATGCAAGGCCCAGAGGGTTTGTGGCCTGTGGCCTTTGCCCTCCGGGAGCTCAGAGACTCTAAGTGAAAGACTCAGGGAGGGACCAGCTTAGCGTAATGCAAGCTTGGGAGTGATTCCAGTGAAGACTTTAGAAACAGGGCTCCCTGACTGTCCTGGGAGGAAGGAGGATTATCAGGGAGTCACACTGTGAGATTGGGCCTGGAAGCACAGATACGACTTTGTCAGACAGGAGTGGACGTTGCTGAGCAGAGCAGGAAGTGGAACGGTACCAGGGAACGAAGGCTAGGTCTGGGTGGGCAGTACCCAGTGGTGAGACCTGAGGCTGGGCATTGCGGACAGTGTCCATGCTGGGTTCAGTTGGCGGCAGGAACCTGGGGGGCAGACAGAGCAGGATGACATGGCTGGGGCAGTGCTTTGGAATGTGAGTCCAGCAGCAGCTGTCCCAGATGCCTTGCGAGGGGCCCTCATCTGGGCGGCTAGTGCTGGTGAAGATTGAAAGTAATTACGGGGCCCAAGGGCCAGACTCAGCCATGCTTCTCTCATTCACTAGCTGTACTTTATTTTCTTTATCATCACCTCCCATAAAAGGTGATTTTGAAGATTAACTGAGGTGCAGTTATGAAAAGCATATTCTGAATGATAAAGTACTTTATGATATTGGATATTTTTAGTAAAACAGAGTAAGCTGTGTCCAGCTGTTTCTGGTGTCTGTATTTGGAATCCCTCCATGACCACAGCTCACCTGTCCTGCCTGCTGTGTCTAGAGTGCCAGTAGATACTCTTGACCCCTGTCCTTGGTGCAGTTAAGTTAGAAATCAGTCAAAGCACTTCCCTCCGTATGTTTGTGTATTTAAAAACATAACCCTAAAAATCTCTTGGGTAAAAGAAGAAATCACAACAACAGCTGGAAAATAGCTGGAACTGAACAGTGGCAAATACCACATTAGAAAAGCTGTGATGGACCCAAAGCTTTTGAGAGGGACATCGGGAGAAGCAGGTGCTTGTTGTGAAGGAAGGTTGCCAAGCTGAGCACCCAGCGAAAGGGGTGCAGAAGCACACAGGGTGGAAAGGAAGAGGTGCTAGACGCGGGCAGGAGGTAGGGCGTAGAGAAGAGAGGGCCGCTGCTAAGGCAGAGAGGCTTCTGGCAGGGCAGATGTGGGGCGGGCGAAGAGAGAGAGAGAGAGAAGGCACAATGAACAGCATCAGATAACCAGAGGTAGAGCCACAATTAAGAGAAAAGTGAGGCTACAAATCGGTCAATTTGTAGAAAAAATTGTGTCTTGTGAATAGGCAACTCCAGGGAAGCCATGTGGGATGCAGGGGAGAGAGGGCTGGGTTGATGGCTAGGGCAGCACCCCAAAGTCATGGTGTGCGGCCTGTGGTCTCAAGGGGGCATCTCTGCCCTGCGCCCCTCAGGTGCTGCCACTGTCCCTCACGTGGGAAGCTGGTCTGCTGCAGGGCCTGACCCTGAGGCTCGCCTGCTGGGTTTCTGCTGGTCGGTTTGTCTGGTGTCCCTGTGGCCTTTGGGTAACCTCTGCTTTGAGCTCTAACTGGACCGTCTTGCTTTGCCCAGTCCTGCCCACAGTGTTGTTGGACGAGATAGAGGCTGCCGAGCTGGAGGGGAATGACGACAGGATTGAGGGGGTGCTGTGCGGGGCCGTGAAGCAGCTGAAAGTCACCCGGGCCAAGCCGGACAGCACCCTGTACCTGAGCCTGATGTACCTGGCCAAGATCAAGCCCAACATCTTTGCCACAGAGGGCGTCATCGAGGTGGGAGTGGGTGTCCATTCCTCTGTGGGAGGGGCGGGCATGCCAGGTGCTTGGCTGCCGTCTCTCCTCACGTTCTCCCTCCCAGCTTGCCCCGCCTGGAACCGCTGCCTTTGCCTTCACGTGCAGGTCTGCATGCAGGTTTGCACACAGGCGAGGCCCTCAGGTGACACGCCCTCTCTTGCAGGCTCTGTGCAGTCTCCTGCGGCGGGACGCCTCCATCAACTTCAAGGCCAAGGGGAACAGCCTGGTGTCCGTGCTGGCCTGTAACCTCCTCATGGCCGCATACGAGGAGGATGAAAACTGGCCCGAGATCTTTGTCAAGGTGAGGCGCCTCTCCCTAGGGCTCCCGAGGTCGCTGCCCCCGAGGTGGAAAGAGCAGAGTGCCACGGGGGAGGGTGGCCACCAGAGACCCCAGCAGGCAAGACGCAAACTGAGTGTGTTCTCCCCAGAAGGGGTATCTGATGGCCTCGGGGTGTCATACCATTGTCCCTTCTGCACTGAGTAGTTGGTGATGGCCTCCTGGGCCCCTGCCCAACTGGACAGCAAGTGGGCATTTGGGGATGCACTCGAGCAGTCGGGCAGGCAGGACAGCGCAGCCAGCCTGGCCTGAGCTGTGCCTCTCGGTGCAGGTATATATCGAAGACTCGCTGGGGGAGCGGGTCTGGGTGGACAGCCTGCACTGCAGGACCTTTGTGGACAACATCCAGACGGCGTTTAACACCAAGATGCCCCCCAAGAGCATGCTGCTGCAGGGGGAGGTGGGACGCGGTGGTGGGGACCTCAGCTCTGGTAAGAGTCAACCAGGGGCTGGGCTGGGCCAGGGATCAGGACGTCCAGCCCAAGGGGCGGGGCTCAGGTCACCTCCCTCCATGGAACCTGGGTTTGGGGGGGTAGGTGCTGGCAGGAGGGGGCGGAGAGAACACTCCTTGGGGCCCTCTTGTGGTCTGTGCAGGGAGCAGCCCACACCCCTCGCTCACAGAGGAGGAAGACAGCCAGTCGGAGCTGCTGATTGCTGAGGAGAAGCTGAGCCCCGAGCAGGAGGGCCAGCTGATGCCCAGGTAGGTGTGCCATGCAGCCCCAGCCTCTTGGGGTGTGGCAGGGAGGCAAGCGGGGTGGGGCGCCTCGAGGACAGCCTTCCTCCCTTCCTTCCTTCCCCCCTCTGGCCTAGGTACGATGACCTGGCAGAGAGCGTGGAAGAGTATGTTCTTGACATGCTCCGAGACCAGCTCAACCGCCGTCAGCCCATCGACAACGTCTCCAGGAACCTCCTGCGGCTTCTCACCTCCACCTGTGGCTACAAGGAGGTGCGGCTGATGACAGTGCAGAAGCTGGAGATGTGGCTGCAGAACCCCAAGGTGAGCGTGGTGGGATGCTGCAGAACCCCAGGGTGGTAGGAGGCACCCTCCAGAGCGGGCCATGCAGGTGCCGCTGCCTGCTGGGTCCTGTGGCCCCGAGATAGATGGGTTCTCTGGCCTCCCTGCAGCTGACCAGGCCAGCCCAGGACCTGCTGATGTCTGTCTGCATGAACTGCAACACGCACGGTTCTGAGGACATGGACGTCATCTCCCACCTGATCAAAATTCGACTCAAGCCCAAAGTTCTCCTCAACCACTACATGCTCTGTGTCAGGTATGCCACAGGCAGGAGCGGGTGGGTGGTACGGTGGGTTCCCCGCCCCCTGTACCCCCTGCCCACTGTCTACTTGCTTGGCTCTCTGGTCCAGGGAGCTGCTGAACGCTCACAAGGACAACCTGGGCACCACCATCAAGTTTGTGATTTTCAACGAACTTTCCAACGCCCGGAACCCAAACAACATGCAGATCCTGTACACCGTGCTGCAGCACAGCTCAGAGCTGGCGCCTAAGGTGGGGGCCCCCTGGACGCTGGCAGCTCTTCTGCGCGGCAGGTGCTCCCTGGGAGCGTGGCGCAGCTTGGTGTGTGGGACGGGGCAGTCCCCGGTCCTGGGCCTCAAGCCTGACTGCTCCTCTCCACACCAGGCAGGGGGCTCCGGCTAGGGGGCATGTGGCATCGCCTGTCACTCTGGGCGTCTGCGAGGAGCCAGGTGATTTGGTGGTGCTGCTGGGAGAGTGCTCTGCCCCCCGGGGTCTGCAGGGGGTGAGGGCTTCTGAAACTCCCTGGAGTTTGACTTTCAGCCAGTTCCAGAGTGGGAACTGGTCTTTCTTGCAAACTAAAACTCAGTGTCCGGGAGGGAGCAGTCCTGAGCCTTAAAAAGTCACCAGAGTTTCCTAGCTGAGAGCCAGTCCCGCCTTCCTGAGCAGTGGTTTTCCCCCTACCCTCTGGGCACTGGCCTTTTTGGGTCCTGGCTATAGGGGCTGCTGACCTGCTGGGTTGGATTCAGGAGTCTCCTTCGAAGGGAAAACCTCTCACATTGTGAACACGTTAGGCTTCTTTTGGGCTCAGTTGTGTATAAGACATCAATGTGGGCTGAGTGCCAGTTCTGACGACCAGGTCTGTCATCGTTGCAGCAGCATTTTAAGAAAAGTGCAGGATCATTGAAGCTCTTGGGTTTCTGTTGTTCAGTGTGAGGTTCAGGGTGGGGCTGAGATCGCACGTTTATCCGTGGCTGTGCTGCCTCAGCACCCACCAGTGTCTCATCCAGCGTGGACTAGCTCCCCTGCGCTAGTTGCCAAGGTTGTTAAATAAGATGTAGTCCCTGCTCTTGGGGAGCTCTCAGCTGGGGCAAAGGCAGCTGTCACCTCAGCACAAGTCCCCTCTGTGAGATGCTGTGCCGCCTTCACATGCCGACCTGCCTGGCTGTGTGCAGGAAGGCAGGTGGGCGCGTTCTGGAGCAGGGCTGGGATGGGAAGGTGCTGGTGGGGAGTGCACCACCTGCAGCCCCCCTTTTGGCCTCTCTCTGCCCCAGTTTCTGGCCATGGTGTTCCAGGACCTGCTGACCAACAAGGACGATTACCTCCGGGCCTCGCGGGCCCTGCTTCGTGAAATCATCAAGCAGACGAAGCATGAGATCAACTTCCAGGCCTTCTGCCTCGGGCTCATGCAGGAGCGCAAGGAGCCCCAGTACCTGGACATGGAGTTCAAGGTGCCTCGGTTTCCTCTGTGTGCTATGGGTGTCGTGGCCTTCCTGGCTGATGGGCTGGAGTGCTTGCTCTTCTCTCACTCCAGGCCCCACGCACAGCTGCTGCCAGTCGTGGGTCTGCCTGTGCCCCCTGCCCTGTTTGGTGCTCTGCTGGGGGGGAGGTGTAGGGAGGAGTGAGGGCCACTTGCTATTGTGTGTCCCAGAGGGAAGCATAGGCTGCATCTCATGGGAGGGCTGACAAAACGCAGGGACATCGGCATCCCCGGGCTGGGTGTGGACAGAACTGTAGCCTCAGGGCTGAGGATGGTGTGAGCAGGGAGACAGGGCACGGCAGGGTCTGCCCGGGCCAGGTTTAAGAGTGCATGACTGACACTGCGGGGGGCCGCTGGTGTGCAGCAAGTGGGCAGCCAACCTGTGGGTTGGTCCACTCTTTGGGACAGAGGCTCTGTCCAGCTCTCTTGGCCCAACCTCCCTCCAGTGACCTGACTAGGGCCTTGCTGCTCACCACTCTTGGGCCATAAGACCTCCTGCCACGGTGGTCCCTGGGGTTTCTGGATCCCTGCTTGTGCCTGTGCGCATGGAGCGAAGCTCTTAGGCCCTTCCAGAACTCAAACCCTACTGTCCTGTGCTTGCAGGAGCGGTTTGTGGTTCACATAACGGATGTGCTGGCCGTGTCCATGATGCTGGGCATCACGGCTCAGGTGAAGGAGGCTGGCGTTGCCTGGGACAAAGGAGAGAAGCGGAGTAAGGACATGAGGGTCTCGGGTCAGGCGGGGTCCAGGCTGGCGACAGGCAGCACTCCTGTGGCTGCAGGCTGTTCCCTAAGCAGCGTGGGAGAGGGCGGTCCCACAGTGCGTCCACTTGAGGGGACTAATGGGACTCCTGGCAGCTGTTGTGTTACTGCCCGTCTGGACACCAGCTCCAGCTCAGGGCCTGTTCATTGTGTGTGTCATTTGCACACTCAAGTTCTGGTGTCCACTGTGGGGGCATTTCAGCCAAGAGCAGGAGGGAGAGACGGGGGTTGGGGGCGCGATCTTTAAGTCTGCCCGGCTTGTTTCATTGTTAATCCTGCTGGAAGGTTTGGCCGCAGAGGCCCCATAAGTGTTGGGCTGGTGTGAAATCGTCTGAACTTGAGGATCCTGTTACCCACGCTTTCCTGGGCTCTCGCCAGGGTTGCCAGACGCTCCCTGGAGCGTTATTCCAGCCGAGGCAGCTTCCACCTGTGTGACCTGTAGGTGGTCCGGAAGCTGGGATGCCCTGAGTCACTGCCTCGTAACATCCAGCCTCCATCCTCGTGCTGGCCTCAAACGGCGGTGGCTGGTCCATGCAGCAGACCAGCCATGAAACCTACTTGTCTATTTCAGACCTTGAGGTGCTGCGTTCATTCCAGAACCAGATTGCCGCTATCCAGCGGGATGCTGTCTGGTGGCTTCACACCGTCGTCCCTTCCATCAGCAAGCTCGCCCCCAAGGACTACGTGCACTGGTAAGGATAGCCATGGCAGCCCCGCCCTGGTCTCTGCCTCGGCTTCTGCCCATTGTCTAGGGACACACAATGGCTCCACATGGGAATCTGTCGCTCCTGGCGCAGGCAGTGGCAGTGGACACGGGCGTCCTGTGTGTGCTGGGCCTTCACCTGGGCCTCTGCCCCGGGGTGGGTGGGGCCTGTCTGGTTGGAGCCGAGATTGTCCTTCAGTGATTTTGTGAGCAGCGCCCGGTGGCTGCCGGCCTGACCTCACGGGTGGTCGTGGTGGGTTCTCTGGCGTGTGCAGCGAGAAGGTGCCACGCTGAGCAGTCAGCAGCCCCTGCCTCCGAGCACGTTCCCATCGACAGCTTTTGCCTGAGTTGGGCCCGTGGGAGATGAGGATCCCTTTCCTGGAACTGACGGGGTGGAGCGGGTCCCCTAGCACCAACTTCCAGACTGGTGGGTCTTCTCTGCCCCGCAGCCTCCACAAGGTGCTGTTCACAGAGCAGCCAGAGACCTACTACAAGTGGGACAACTGGCCTCCCGAGAGTGACCGCAAGTGAGTGAGCCTGTGGGGCTGGGGCTCCTGTGCGCTCAGAGCCGTCTGCCGCGGGAAGATCCCATCAGGGTCTGGGGCCAGCTGTGTGTTCTTAGCGGCTACCATCCCATCCCTCCTCGTGGCCCTAGGTGCTGCTCTTCTCCCGCGTTGCTGTCTCTGAAGTCACCTTCACTCGGGATGCAGCAATCACTGTGTCCACGTGACTCCCACACTCCCAGGACACCCACACCCACCTCACCCTCACGCACATCCACACACTGCCTGCCCCTCCTTGCTCCCCAACAGCTGCACACTCCATCCTTCCTCACCCGAGTGTTCTAGAACCATGCTACCCTCAGCCCTCCTGGGCTCCATCTCCAGCCCATCTGCCTCAGGCGCTTCTGTTACATGCTGCGGAGTTGTGTGTGGTCTCTCTCTGCCCACCCAGCTCTGAGCTCCTCAAGAGCGAGAACTGTCTCGACGTTCTCTGTGGAACAGCACAGTCTCTCCTGTGTTGGCAGTAGGAACAAGTGACCACGCACATGGCTGCTAAGGCCATGAGAAAGGCAGGGTAGCTTCCCACTCCACGACGAGACGTGAGTGGGTGGACAGCCCCTCCTCTGCCGGCTGTGGTGCTTTGCTGCAGGGAGTCTGGCCCTCGTCCTCAGCCCCACGCAGGGTCCTGCAGGCTTGGAGGTGGCCCCTACCAAATCAGTCCTCCCTCCACCTACAGCTTCTTCCTGCGCCTCTGCTCAGAGGTGCCCATCCTAGAGGACACCCTGATGCGTATCCTGGTCATTGGGCTGTCCCGTGAGCTGCCGCTCGGCCCTGCGGATGCCATGGAACTTGCTGACCACTTGGTGAAGCGAGCCGCGGCCGTGCAGGCGGATGGTGAGGGTCCCTTGGGGCTCTGCTGCGGGCTTTGTCCTGGACCCCTCTCGGTGACAGTGCTGGCCTCTGCTGCCTCATGACTGCAGAAGCTGTCTGTGTGCTGGGGCCTCAGCAGTATCTGCCTCCCCTCGAGGAAACCGCGTTTCAGCTGAGCCTTGTGCCCCTCTACTCAGCCATAAATGGGCTGTTCCCTGGGAGACTCAGCCCTGGTACTGAGCACTGAGAAGTGTGCTTGTGTCTTTGGCAACCGTGTAGTCCTTGCACCATTCTGGGATTTGCCTTGGAATTTACGCTCCTTCCCAGCGTGATTGAACCACAGCAGGAGCCTTTGTCTCTCTCCTTTTCTCTCCTCCCCTTTAAGGTGATCTGAAATCTAGCACTGCCACCAGGCTCTGAAGCCTGCTGCGAGAGCCAAGGGCTTACTAGTCCCTGCCCTGGTCACGCCCTGCGTCCTCACCTCTGCTCCCCACGTCCCATCCTGCCTCCCACCGCCACCCCAGCCCGTCCTTGTGCTGCTCCAGCAGTGCCCTGTCTTCTTGCTCTCTGACACCCCAAGGCCAGACCCTGTGCCTTGGCTATCTGGGGAGTGAACGCAAATTCTGGGGCCTGTGTGGCTCTTGGTTCTAGATGTGGAAGTGCTGAAGGTGGAGAGAATCCAGCTGATCGACGCAGTGTTGAACTTGTGCACCTACCACCATCCCGAGAACATCCAGCTCCCGCCCGGGTAAGATCTGAGCACCCTCAGCCTGGTGGGTCAGGCACCCCTGCAGTCCCCACAGCACCCCTGTGGCTGGGCTGCAGCCACCTACTCTCCCTCTGGGGCCTCTCCCGCCCCCCAGCTCCCCAAGAGGTGAGTTCTTGGTGGGCTATTCTCAGAGGCCTGTGAGGCTAAAGTGGGCGTTGAATGACACACACCTGTTTCCCCACTGTTGGCTGGTGTGAGTGATTCACTTCCCTGTTATCTTCTCTTTGGTGTCTCCAACTCATTTATATTTTTTCTTTATGATTATTAACATGTGTGCTTTATTTTTTACACAGCAATAAGCTTGTGCTCTATTTTTTAACAGCTTTATTGAGATATAACTCATATATATTTCATCTATCCAAAGTTTCCAATTCAATGTTTTTTAGTGTATTCACAGGAGGTATAGTCTTCACTATAATTTTAGAACTTTTTCTCCCCTAAAAGGAACCCGTACCCACCCATTAGATGTCACTCCCCATCTCCCCGTTACCCCATCCCCCCACCCTCAGTGGCCCCTAATCTGCTCTCATTTCTGTGGACATTCCATATAAATGCATCATACAGTATGTGGTCTTTGTGGCTGGCTTCCTTCTCTGAGCACATTGTTTTCAGGACATCATGTTGTAGCAGGTATGGGTGCTTCATTCCTTTCTGTGGCTGAATAACATTCCACCGTATAGCTAGACCACGTCACATAGCTTGCTTCATCCACTCACCAGCTGGTGGACGTTGCAGTGTGTCCACCGTTTGGCTGTTTTGAGCAGTGCTGCTGGGCACGTGTGTGTACAAGTCTCTGTGGATGTGCGATTTCAGTTCTCTTGAGTGGATGGGTGACCAGGAGCGGAATTGCTGGGTTATGTTTATCTGTTTGAGGAACCACCAGACTTTTCCACAACAACTGCTTCATCTTGTATTCCAGTTTCTCTGTGTTGTCACCAACACTTACCGCCCATTTTTCTTGTCCACATCCAGGTGGATATGAGGCGGTATCGCATTTTGGTTTGGGTTTGCATTTTTCTAATCACTGATGATATTAAACATCTATTTGTGTGCTGATTGGCCATTTACATGTCTACTTTGGAGAAATGCGTATTCAGGTTCTTTGCTGAGGTTTTTTTTTAATTTTTAATTTTTTTTAGAGACAGGGTCTCACCGTATCAAGCAGGCTATAGTGCAGTGGTGTCATCATAGCTCACTGCAGCCTTGAGCTTCTGGGCTCCAGGGATCCTCCTGCCTCAGCCTCCCGAGTAGCTGGAACTACAGGTGCCACCACACCCAGCTAATTTTTCTATTTTTAGCAGAGACGGGGTCTCACTCTTGCTCAGGCTGGTCTGGAACTCCTGAGCTCAAGCGATCCTCCCGCCTCAGCCTCCCAGAGTGCTAGGATTAGAGATGTGAGCCACTGTGCCCAGCCAATGCTTTGTAAATATCTTCTCCCATTTTATAGGTTGTCTTTTCACTTTCTTGATAGTGTCTTCTGACACAAAAGTTCTCAATTTTGATGAAGCCCAATTTATCTTTTCGGGGGCTTTTCTGTGCTTTTGTATGATATCTGAGAAACTGTTGCCTGGTCCGGGGTCACAAAGATTTAATCCTGTATTTTCTTCCAAGGGTTTTATAGTCTCAGCTCTTGCATTTAGGTCTTTAGTCAATTTTGAGTTAGTTTTATTTATGATGTAAGGCAGAGGTCCAACTTCATTCTTTTACGTGGGAATGTCCAGTTGGCCCAGCATTATTGGTTGAAAGGCTGCTCTTTCTCTCGTTAAGTGATGTTGGCACTTGGTCAGAAATCACACACGTGGGTGTGTTTGTGAGCGCCCGACTCTTCCATTGACTCACTTCCGTGGTCTGATGAAATCCAGCTTATTTTTTTGTTGCTGCTGTGGCCTGTGTATCGCCTAGCCACGCTCATGAAGGTTTAGTCCTGTTTTTGCCTAAGAATTTTATAGTTTTAGCTCTTAATGTTTAGGTCTACTATGCATTTTTTACACGGTGTTTGTGGGGCCCAACTTCATGTTTTGCCCGTTGATGTCCAGTTGTCCCGACACTGTTGTTGAAAAGACTGTCCCTTCTCCACTGAATGGTCTTGGCACCTTGTCAGTAATCAATCGAGCGTAAATGTGAAGTTTCGTTCCTGGGCTCTCAGTTCTGTTCCATGGGTCTGTGCGTCTGTTTTTATGCCTATACTGTCTCCATTACTATAACTTTGTGTTCAGTTTTGAAATTGAGGAGTGTGAGTCTTCCAGCTTTGTTCCTTTTTAAAATTGTCTTGGCTATTCTGAGTTCTTGCACTAATGTGGATTTTAGGGTCAGCTCATCAATTTCTGCAAAAAAGCCAACTGGGATTTTGCAGGGATTGCGTTCCTGCTGTGTTTATGATACCAGATCTCAACTCGTGCACGTGGGTTGTATTTCCATTTGTCTAGAGCTGTAGTTTCTTTCGGCAGTGTTGTGTAGTTTTCGTTGTAGAAGTCTTGAAATTCTCCTGTTCAGTTTATGCCTGAGCATCACGTTCTCCATGATGCCGCTGCTGGCGGGTTTTCTGTGTCTTTCATGGGTTGCTGGTGTGTGCTCTCCCTTCTGACAGGGTCTCTTCCACTCGACGGCAGACACACCGCTGTAAGTCGTTGTCTCACCTCACTCCGTTCTTTCTAGAGGCTGTAATCTTTCACCGCCTGAAAGGACTGTACTTTAATGATGATTCCATTATGTGTGACCTTTAAATGCTATTACAATTACGCATTGATGGATACCAAAGTTGTTTCTTATTTTCTGATGTAAAGAATAAGAATGATGATGAACATTTATTCAGCATTTATTACTGTACCAGTGTTCACAGTTTATAGATGGGAAACTGAGGCTTAGAGAGGTAAGTAACTGCGCAGGGAGAGAGCTGGAGTTTGGACCTGGACTCTGAGCAGTGCAGCACCGCACGTGTGCCTGGGCAGGTGTTGCTGCAGGACAGTGCCAGGGCGGGGCGGGGGAGGGCTTTGAGGCACCAGCGTGGACAGTGCAGTCATTAAGCAGGTGCCGCCTGGCTCCTTGTGTCTCAGGTATCAGCCCCCAAACCTCGCCATCTCCACCCTGTACTGGAAGGCCTGGCCACTCCTGCTGGTCGTCGCTGCCTTCAACCCCGAGAACATCGGTGAGCCCTTCTGGCCAGAGCACAGGCGTGTGGCATGCATTGATGCTTTCCCTTTGGGGCAGCTTATTCATCAGGACTTGGGATCCAGCCCAGCTGGGGCCTGATGAGGACGTGGGTAAGGGTGGGGTCGCGCCTGGTGCCTGTGGGAGAGCCCGGCCAGCCCATCTGCTTTCACCTTGTGCCCTAGGCCTGGCCGCCTGGGAGGAGTACCCGACCCTCAAGATGCTCATGGAAATGGTGATGACCAAGTGAGTCTGTGTGTCTTCTCAGTAGGACCAGGGCTGGGGTGCGGGGAGGGCAGGGCCATGTCTTGTTTACGCTCATCCCTGGTTTCGGTTTACCTGTGGACTGGAGGTTTTGGATCTGAGTCTGTTGCATTTGGTATCTTTTTCCCTTGCTGGGGGCTGGGGGGGTGTGGATTGAGGTGCCATGGAAGCCCGTGAGGAGGCCTCCAGGCCCATGACCTGCCCAGCAGCACTCTTGCCACTGGAGTGGGACGGTGCAGGCTGGGGCGCAGGCTGGTGGACGGTGTGACGCTGGGAGGATGTGGGGGAAGAATTGGGAGCCAGGGGTGATGTAGAACCTCAAGGGGCTTCAAGGGGCAGAATAAGCGTCCTGGTGGGCTTTACCAAGACCCCTGCTTGGGACTAGCAGCAGGTGAGCTGCACCAGTCAGTTCCACGCAGGTGGGTGCTGGACTCGGCACAGCCTGAGTGTGAGAGGTTGGGGGCTGTTGTGACTGCAGCTTCCCGTGAGCTGCGCCCTAGTGTGTTGGTGCCCAGACAGGGTGAGGGCGCAGTGTGCTATGGGGCCAGGTGTCTGGTCCAGCCAGTGAGGGCATCTCACAGAGGGTGGCAGCCAGGATAGAGCAGAGCCTAAAGCCGTGGCACGTGGGGACCTAATGTGTGTGTAGCTGTGGCTTGTGGGGACCTGGCCTGTCTGTGGCCTAAGACCAGGAGACACAGCTGCTTCCTTCACGTTTCCCAAGGGCTGTCAGGTGGCTGAAGGAGCACACTGACTTTATGGGGCCTTAGGGACAGAACCCAGATGAGGGACACCATAGGGAGACAGATTCTGGAATGTATAAAAGGAGATGGACTGTTAGTGTGTCCCAGAAAGCTGCCTGTGCCTTGGGGCGCAGCGAGTCCCTGCCCCTGGAGGACCCCCAGGGTAGGTGGAGGCCTGTCTGGGTCCGTTGCACCAGACAGGCCTCCCAGCACGTGTGGCGTGGAAGAGGTGGCATCCTGGGAAGAGGCTCTGGGGCTCTGACACTGGCTGGACTGGTCCTGACGGGGGCTGTCATGCCGTGTGGGAGAGGGAATACTTGGGCTGGGTTCTTTGGAAAATACTGAGGCGGCTTCTCCGCGAGGTCTCAGCTTTGACAAGCTTTGGGGACAGCCCCACCAGGGCACCCCCGACACTCCTGACGGCTCACGCTGTGGGCCAGGCAGCGGCGTCGTTGTGAGTTTTGACCCTGTTTGACCTTGAGTGCTGTCTGACAGGAGTGGGCTTTTGACGGGGGCAGGTAACAAGTCCTCCCTGTCTGGCCCAGCAATTACTCCTACCCGCCGTGCACCCTGACGGACGAGGAGACCCGCACAGAGATGATTAATCGGGAACTGCAGATCTCCCAGCGGGAGAAGCAGGAGATCCTGGCCTTCGAGGGGCACCTGGCAGCTGCGTCCACCAAGCAGACCATCACCGAGAGCAGCAGCCTCCTCCTGTCCCAGCTCACCAGCCTGGACCCCCAGTACGTACCGGCCGTGCCCGCACACAGCCCGAGTGTGGGCTGGCAGGGGGTTGGTGTGGGTGGGATAGAGCCCAAGGAGCATGTGAGGCCGACCCTAACTAAGATGCCTACCCCACCCGGTCCCCACATCACTGACTTAGTCCTCTGTGGAGCCAGGCCCTGGGTGCAGTTGAGGTCAGGAAGTGTCCTCAGTGACAGGAAGTGCTGCCTTGGCTGGGGGTAAGCAGCACATGGCTCTCTAACACACTCACGTCCTCTGTGACCCCCAGAGGGCCCCCGCGGAGGCCCCCCCCTCACGTCCTGGATCAGGTGAAAGGCCTCAACCAGTCCCTCCGCCTCGGGCACCTGCTGTGTCGGAGTCGCAGCCCCGACTTTCTCCTCAACATCATCCAGAGGCAGGTGCGTTCTGCCTCGGGGCTCCTAGGGGAGAGACGGAGGTCTAGGGGGTGGGCCTGGAATGTTCCGAAGGCTTCGGTGGGCTTTGGCATTAAGTAGCATCACAGCCAGAAGAGGGCAGAGCACACCTGCATATGGGATGCACACAGGCAGCCCGACGTGCCAGCTCCACGGGGCTCGGCCTGAGCTCGGGGCTGGCAGGAAGGGATGCTGGACAGGGGAGGGTGCTGAGTGTGGGCCACCTGTGTCGTACCCCAGGCCTCCTCGCAGTCCATGCCCTGGCTGGCCGACCTGGTACAGTCCAGCGAGGGCTCCCTGGACGTGCTGCCCGTGCAGTGCCTGTGTGAGTTCCTGCTGCACGACGCCGCTGATGACGCCGCCGCTGCCTCTGGGGAGGAGGAGGACGAGGGCGAAAGCAGAGAGCAAAAGGCCAAGAAGCGGCAGGTGTGTGTCCACCCACGGTCCTGCCCACGGCCCCACCCCATGGCCCCTGAGAGCCTCTCTCGTCCCTACAGAGACAGCAGAAGCAGCGGCAGCTGCTGGGCCGCCTGCAGGACCTGCTGCTGGGCCCGAAGGCTGACGAGCAGACCACGTGCGAGGTGCTCGACTACTTCCTGCGGCGCCTTGGCTCCTCCCAGGTGGCCTCCAGGGTGCTGGCCATGAAGGTGAGGCGTGCGGGTCTTGTGTGCGTACCCTCTTTTCTTGTGTTTAAATGATTGCTTAGTCCACCCAGGCTTTTTTCTAACTGATTTTCATGCATAGAAAGGATGCCACTGGTAAAGTTCGAAAGCACCAAAGCTCTGTCACTTGTCTGCTATCCCTTCCCTGGGTGGCAATGGGAGGTATTTCGAGAGTGACTTAATGAACTGGTACGTGCAGAATCTTAAAAGGTGTTGAACAGAAGCTTTTTAGAAAAAGCAGTTCTTGCTCCTTTTCCCCAGCTGTCATTGTGATCACTCTGATGGGGAACCAGCAAGTCTTCCTTGCCTGGGCAGCTCTGCGTTCTCTACACAGGGCTTTGAGGGCACGCGCTTGTCCCCTTAGTTCAGGGGTGGGCCCCTGCCCCTGCGTTGGTGGCAGCTAGGCCCAGCCCCGCATGTCTGCTTACAGGGTCTGTCGCTGGTGCTGTCGGAGGGCAGCCTGCGGGACGGAGAGGAGAGGGAGCACCCCATGGAGGAAGATTCGGGAGATGCAGACCTGCTGCAGGGCTACCAGTGGCTGCTGCGGGACCTGCCCAGGCTGCCGCTGTTTGACAGCGTCCGGAGCACCACCGCCCTGGCGCTGCAGCAGGTGAGGGCACCGGGGCAGGGCTGTGGGACAGACTGGGCAGCGGAGTAGCAGCACTGCCCTGAGGAGCCACACAGAGCACCACCCTCCCTCCCAGGCCATCCACATGGAGACTGACCCGCAGACCATCAGCGCATACCTGGTGTACCTGTCACAGCACACGCCGGTGGAGGAGCAAGGCCAGCACAGCGACCTGGCTCTGGTGAGGGCGTTTCAGGGGCAATGGTGCCATGCCCTGGGCTGGAGGCTCCTTGTGCCGAGGGAGGTGGGGAGGGTGGGAGTGCAGCAATGCACAGGGCTTCGCCATCTGTGTCCCTTCCTTAGTCACTGCTGATTCCATGGAGCATTTCTCCCTAGACCACCAGGTATTGTGGGGCTAGGAGACCTAGGTGGCCTTTGAGGCCTTCGTCCTCAGAGTTTTGTGCCAGTGAACAGCCTGGGAGTTCTCACCGGGGTCCTTGTCAGTATCATTGCAAATTTCTGGGTGGTTTATGATGGCCTTTTCCATCTGGTCTTGAAAAGTACATGTTTCTGATGCTTGTGGGACAATGTGGGCCGGTTTCCTCCTTCCTCTCTGCGGGCAGAGGGCAACGGCATCTGCTTTCGGGGCATGGGCACTGTCCTTGGCTGTGAGAGCTGTGTGCTCTCCCGAGGTTGTAAAGGCCTCACATGCTCTCTGCAGCGCTGCCGTCTGCGTGAGGGTCTGCGGCAGTGAGGGGCTCCACAGCCCTGCACAAATGTGCTGGGACAGTAGTGCTCCTGACGGTTCGTGGTCCAAGAGCATGGCCTGGGTCGTGGTGAGCCTTGCGATGAGCTGTGTCTGCCGAGGCCCTGGGGAGCCTCTGACGGTTCTGCCCTTCCTCACCAGGACGTGGCGCGGCTGGTCGTGGAGCGCTCCACCATCATGTCCCATCTCTTCTCGAAGCTCTCCTCCAGTGCCGCGTCGGACGCTGTGCTGGGCGCCCTGCTGTCCATCTTCTCACGCTACGTAAGGCGCATGCGCCAGAGCAAGGAGGGCGAGGAGGTCTACAGCTGGGTAAGGCAGCTGCTCAGCGCCTGGGCCCTGGGGTCCCCGTAGTCCCCGATAGCCCCCATTTCTTTCTCCTCTCCCCGTAGTCGGAGTCTCAGGACCAGGTGTTCCTGCGCTGGACCAGTGGGGAGACGGCCACCATGCACATCCTCGTGGTCCACGCCATGGTCATCCTGCTGACACTCGGCCCACCCCGAAGTGAGTGGCAGCCAGGCAGGCAGCCCCTGCGGGGTCTGCGCAGACAGGTCACGCCCCTGCACCGGAGGTGCTCCTCTTCTGGGCAGGAAGTTGCAGGGTGGGAGGACTCACCCTGCTGGCCCAAGGCTTCGGGTAGCTCCCCTTCAGCACTGTGCCTTGGTTTCTTGTTTTTTAAAGTGTGGGTTAAAGTACGTCTCCGCTTGTCTCAGTGCTTTGTGGAAGCGCATGAGACCTGCACGTGGCAGGCCCTGCCCAGCCCAGGTGCTCGCAGTCACCCTTGGTGCCAGGGGGCTGAGCTAGGGCGCCGTCCTTGTTCTTGCCACCAAGCGACAAGCTCTGGGTCTCTCAGCACATGACCACAGCACACGGCTTCCCAGATGGGCCTCAGGTCCAAGCTCCAGAGCCCCAAGTGTGTGGCCCTGAGGACTTGCTGGCCAGGCCGGCGTCCAGAGCCTGGTGAGCCCAGGCCAGCTGAGTCCTCTTTGCCTAGGGGCCTGCCATCCCCTCCCCCTGGCTGACTGCTGGGGGCAGCTTTGCACTGACCCGATGGTTGAGGGAGTGGGGGAGGGGACGGAATCCCCTGCTAGAGTGGTGACCCCTGTCCAGGGAGGCGGAGGTGGTAGCCACCAGGTGTGTGGTCACAGGCGCTGCCCTTGGGAGGGCAGTAGGAGCAGGCTATTGGGTTTCCTGCTGGGTTTCCCATTGGCTTTGTGGAGCCAGAGAGCTGAAAGGGAGCTGGTCCAACCAGGCAGACTGGAGCCCACAGGGCAGCGCTTGCCTGTGGTCACATAAGTCCTCTGGGGCAAGTGGCTCCATCTTGAGGTTCCGTCCCTCAGCTGCCCACCTCTCATGGTGGTTGCAAGCACTAAGTACTTCAGTTTATGCAAAGCACCTGGCACGTAGTAAGTACTTGTGCAGCACTTGTCTGCCCCATTCCTCCGAAGCCCCGATTTCCACCCCTATGAAGGGAGGACTTGCACCAAGTGATGTCTGGGTTTCTCTGGCCTTGGCACTGGGCTGTTCTGGGGTCCTGGGCCTTGTTGGGTGATGAGGCTTGGAAGGCTGCTCACCCTGTTGTCTTCTCCAAGCCGGTGATGGTGAGTTCCAGGCACTGCTGGACATCTGGTTCCCGGAGAAGAAGCCCCTGCCCACCGCCTTTCTGGTGGACACGTCCGAGGAGGCACTGTTGCTGCCTGACTGGCTGAAGCTGCGCATGATCCGCTCAGAGGTCCCTCGCCTGGTGGACGCGGGTACGGACCCAGGCTGGGCTCGGGAGAGAAGGGAGGGCCTGGCGCGTGAGCCTGGGTGTGCTCCAACTGTTGCAGATGAGCGAGGACAGGCTGGTGGCTTCTCGGACCTCTGGGAGGCTCTTAGGCACCCCTGTATCCTGCAGGTGCTTCCTCAGTCCTGGCCATGCCAGGCCCTATGCCGGGCTCTGGGAGGAGACCCAGTGCAGCTTGTGCCCACCCCGCTGAGAGTGGTCTGTGGTCTGGTAGTCAGGCCCAGGGGCCTGCGGTCGGGGGCAGAAAGGAGATAAAGTGGTCGGGGGTAGTGGGGCAGGTGGTGGGAGCCTCTGAGTTAGTTCTTGGAGGACTTGGGGATTTGGAGTGAACTGCCCAAGTGAGGGGCTGGACTGGGGGCCTGAGCGAGCACGGGTCAGCAGCATTGGCACCTGGGCAGGGAAGGGGGACCTCAGTTTGGTGAGTGGGTGGTGTTGGCATGGGAAGTCCAGTGAAGGATGTACACTGAGGAGTCTGGACCCCCATATGCCATAGGGAGCCATCGATGACTTCATTGGGTCATTGTGTGGCAGCTGAGCACCAAGAGGAGAGCGCACAGTGCCTTGCATGCAGCTGTGGGGTGGCGAGTGTGCCTTGCTGGCCAGGCTCCTGCTCTCTCGGGGTTCCTGCCTCCGCAGCGCTGCCGTGAGCCTTCCCAAGCATCCACCCACCCTCCAAATTGCTGTCTGGGGTGCAGGCCGGGCTCCAGGGCAGGCCCAAGTTGATCCTGAGCCCCTGCTACCCTCCTGCTGGCCCAGGATCTCTGGGTGGGGCGCTGCCAAGCAAGTGCCACCCCAGGTTTGCAGGGCCACTGAGCAAGCGCCACCCTCAGCTCTGCAGGACCTGGAGCCGCAGCAGCTGCTGCTGTTTGTGCAATCTTTCGGCATCCCCGTGTCCAGCATGAGTAAGCTCCTCCAGTACCTGGACCAGGCGGTGGCCCACGACCCCCAGACCCTGGAGCAGAACATCATGGACAAGAGTGAGAGCCAGGACTCTGTCCTATCTGGCAACACATCCTGACCAAGTGCCTGTGTCGCCAGGCGGCCAGGCCCTTGTGCTGGGTTGGGAGCCGAGGTCAGGTGTGGGTGTGGGTGGCACTCATGGGTGGGAGGGTCAGTGCCAGGTACCCTGCTTGGACTTGTCTTGAGTCCTGAGGGGCTAGAGGGGCCTCTCGATACTGACTGATCCTTGCCGGGGGGTCCTGTATCTCAGCTTCTGCTGTCTTGGGAAGTTCTGTTGGACAGGAGCATCCTAGTTCCAGTTCCTGTGGGAAAGGGAAGTGTTTTCTCCCCCCAGCCCAGGTGTTGCTAACCCCTGGCTGCTGTCTTGCAGATTACATGGCTCACCTGGTTGAGGTCCAGCACGAGAGAGGTGCCTCTGGTGGCCAGACGTTCCACTCCCTGCTCACAGCCTCCCTGGCCCCCCGGCGAGGTACAGCGCACTCCTAACGCACAACACCCATGCCCAGGGGTCCCCGGGGCCCAGAGACTCCTGGCTCTTTCCTTGGTCAGCCTTTGCCTCTGGCCAGGGTGTGGGCTCCTGTTCAAAGTCAGTCCTCCTCATGGGCCTGAGTGAGGCCTGGGGTCCCCAGGGAGTACAGACTGTCTGTGGGGCCCAGGAGCCAGCTCTTCTTTCTGGTGATGGCACTGGGCAGGACTGGGCTTGGTTTGCGCAGTGCCCGCTCTGGGAGCTGGTCAGCATCCAGCCACAACGGTTCCCTTTCTCTGCAGACAGTACAGAGGCACCGAAACCAAAGAGCAGCCCGGAGCAGCCGCCAGGCCAGGGGAGGGCCCGTGCAGGGACACAGATCCGGGTGCTTGGCCCTGAGGATGACCTGGCCGGCTTGTTCCTACAGGTACCGACAGCGCTTGCGTGGATCTCGCGGGCGTGCACCTCTTGTACACGTGTGTTATTCCCCACCTTGCACACACAGCAGCCTTTATGCATGTGCCTACCTGATGCTGGCACACTGTGCTCACATGTGCAAACCCCCCACATTCTCTGAGGGGTTTCTCAGGGCGCAGGCCCGTGTGGAGGAAACGGAGGGCGCCCTCCCTGCCGTCCTTGCATGCCCCTCTGCGCTCGGTGTCCTGTTTTGTGTGTGCGGAAGTCAAAGTCTGCAGAGCTCCCTGCGGCCCCCAGCCCATGTCCTTTCTACAGTAAGGCCTGGTGAGCACCTGGCTGGCTCGGGATGCCTTTGTCCACCGTGCAGCTCCCAGCACAGGTCTCAAGGGCCCTGGGCCTGTCAGTCCACACGGTTGGGGCCACAGATGAACAGGGACCTGACAGGGGACATGGTCCTATCACAGGAGCCATATGAGGGACATGCAGCCTCCTGATGCCACACCTGCTCTGTTCCAGATCTTCCCACTCAGCCCAGACCCACGCTGGCAGAGCTCCGGTCCCCGGCCTGCAGCCCTCGCCCTGCAGCAGGCCCTGGGCCGGGAGCTGGCCCGTGTCCTCCAGGGGGACCCCGAGGTGCCGGGCATCACGGTGCGCTTCCTGCAGGCCATGGCCACCCTGCTCAGCTCCCCGCATGGCGGCGCCCTGGTGCTGTCCATGCACCGCAGCCACTTCCTCGCCTGCCCGCTGATGCGTCAGCTCTACCAGTACCAGGTGCTCGGTCATGGCGGGAACCGAGGAGAGAGAATAGGGTGGAGGGTCGAGGGCTTAGCCCCCCAGGAGGGCCCCAAGTGTCCTGAGGCTGCCCCGTGGGCCTTGGTTCTTAGTTCCTGCATGAGGAGCAGCGTGGACGCTGTCCGGCAAACAGGGTGCAGGGCTGGCTCGGGCCTTGCTGTGTGTGTACAACCACCTGGGCTCAGCAATCTTGCCCCGTCCACCTTGTCTCCCTGCGCTGATGTGTGACTTTTATTTATTATATTTGTCTTTCTTCATGTTTATCCCTGAACCGTAGGAAAATAAGCTGCCAGGGCTCGGACAACTCAGCAGCCGCGGGGCTTTGAAAGGGCCTCTGCAGGGTTGTCTGGCCATGTGCTGGGGAGGCAGATGGGAAGGGGTGGGCCCTGCTGCCAGTCACTGTGGGCCCCACCCCAGCCTCCTGGCCCCTTCTCTGAGATTCGGGTACCTGGTTCCCAGTTCCTCTGAGACTGGCGGGTGAGGAGTCTGGGATCCTTGCTGTGCAGGACTGCAGCTATCTCTGATGAGCGTAGCCCATGTTCTGCTGGCTGTCCCCACAGCGCTGCGTGCCCCAGGACACCGGCTTCTCCTCCCTTTTCCTCAAAGTGCTCATGCAGATGCTGCAGTGGCTGGACAGCCCTGCCGTGGAGGACGGGCCCCTCAAGGCCCAGCTCAAGCTGTTTGCCACCCAGTACTCCGCGAGGCGCAGGATCAGCGACGGTGAGGGCAGGGCCAGGGTGGCATGCGGGGTGGGGCCAGTTGGCACCTGCAGGGGATCCCGGGCACTGGGCTGGCATTCACAGCAAGTGGCCAGGCAGCTTGGTGCCTAGAGGCCTGGGGGTGATATGGGCTCCTTCGGGGGGAAGATGCCCACGTGGATCAGGGGGAGTCTTTCTGCTTTGGGGCCTCCCGGGATGGGGCATGCTCGGAGGAGCTAGGGTGAAGCCACAGCCGACAGTGGTCACACAAGCTCTCCCACAGTGCGAAGCGGGCTCCTGCACCTGGCCGAGGCCCTGACCTTCCGCCGGGACCTGGAGGTGGTCAGCTCTGCCGTCCGGGCTGTCATTGCCACCCTGAGGTCTGGGGAGAAGTGCAGCGTGGAGCCAGAGCTCCTCAGCAAAGGTGCTGTCCCTGTGGAGACCCCCAGCCTGGAGACAGGCACCTTCTGGCCGCCTGGTGGGGGGCGGGCAGTGGCCACTCCATGCCGTCCCCTCAAGGTGCCCACAGAGGTCCTCTCCTGGCCAAGAGGGGACATGGGCCCCTCTTGGGAATGTGCTGGAGCGTCCCCCTCAGGGATCCCCACCACTGCCGTGGCAGAGCAGGACGTGCCCTGCTATACTCCCCGGCTGAGCACAGTGTTGGGATCCACAGCCAGCACTGGGGAGCTCAGTCCCACTCGGGAGCCTCCTAGACCTGGCAGTGACCCAGGATGTCCTTCTGTCCCTTGCACAGTCCTCCGGGGGCTGATTGAGGTGAGGTCCCCTCACCTGGAAGAGCTGCTGGCAGCGCTCTGTTCTGCCACCACGGAGGCTGCCTCTCCATTTCCGGCCTCAAAGCCCATCATGGTGGTGAGCTCCCTGCTGCTGCAGGAGGAGGAGCCCCCGGCCCCAGGGAAGCAGGGCACCGACAGCGGCAGGTGAGCTGGGGAGCCACAGCGGGCCCAGGTGAGTGACCTGGCAGCCCTCCCCTGACCCCCCTCCATCCCTGCAGCCTGGAAGCCGTGCAGCTGGGACCCTCATCTGGGCTCCTCGTGGACTGGCTGGAGATGCTGGACCCTGAGGTGGTCAGTAGCTGCCCTGACCTACAGCAGAGGCTGCTCTTCTCCCGGAGGAAGGTGAGGTTTGCACTCGGCTCTCAGGACAAGGAAGTGGCCCTGGCCTGGGGCAGGGCTCACGGTGGCCATGCCACCCCTGCCACTCTCAGACCTTCTGCCCACTTGGCAGCCAAGAGGAAGAGTGGGGTCTCCCCACTGGCCCAACAGAGTCCAGGCCTGAGTCACCTGCCCCTCGGCCAACTCTGACTGCCCAGATGTGGTTGTGGGCCAGGCGGGGTGGACTGAGCCGTGGTCATCCCGAGGGTGGGACTGTGGTGAACAGTAGGCAGAGCGAGTGCAGGGCACCAGCCCAGGGGAGACGGGGCCCTTCAGGGAGGGGCTGGGTGAAGCCTCAGGGGCTTCTGCTGCATGTGGCAGCTCCTGTGTGGAAGTGCGAGGAAATGTGAGCGGCCACCTAGAGCCGCCCTGGGTGACATGGGCGAGGCACAGGCTCCTTCCTGGGAAGGCTGCCCATCAGGCTGGAAACGCGCCCCATGCCTCTCTACTGGACATTGTCGGCTTCCCTTACCCAACAGACCTCCCGCCTCCTCCCTTCCCAGGGCAAAGGTGCTGCCAGCACCCAGGTGCCATCATTCCGCCCCTACCTACTGGCGCTCTTCACGCACCAGTCCAGCTGGTCCACGCTGCACCGGTGCATCCGCGTCCTGCTGGGCAAGAGCCGGGAGCAGAGGTAGGTACCCTCCCTGCCTGTCCGTGTGCTCACAGGGTGGCCACCCCCTCAGCCTTGCTGCAGCATGGCATGATGGCCGTGGGGTGTGTGTGCCTGTGCTGGGAGCTGCTGGCTCTGTTCTGTGGCCACAGACGTCCAGTCTTGCTTTGGGTGGTCATGATAAACACTGAGCTCAGGATAAACGACCTCAGCATCGAGGGGCCTGGGGGCATCTGACCCTCCACCACACCACTGCTGTTGGAGACCCCTCAGCCTGTGCAGGTCTCCTGGCATCCTCAACACTGTGGCAGTGGTTCGGTGGCTCCTTCTGCCCAGAGATGGCAGGTGCCCAGGCTGACTGAGGCCCTTACTTGCCCCAGTGCCCCAGGAAGGTGGCCAGCAGGCTGCAGGGGCCCTGCAGGGGTGTCACCTCCTTGGGGGCCCAGACCCTTCCCTGGCCTACCCTGCTCAGCGTCACTGGCTCCCACACAGGGGTCCCTGCTCTGGCTGGCCCCATCCCCCACACCACGAAGAGAAGCAGTCATGAGAGTGGAGTTGTCACGGGCTGTGGCCTCTCCATGTGTCCGAGGGGAGCCCAGCATTGCTGTCCACGCTGTGCCGTGCGTGCCAGAGGAGAGAGTGAGGTGTCCCCGAGGCAGCACTGCCGGGCACTGAGGCTCCAGGCCCAGTGGTCCCTCAGCTTGGATGGGCCGCAGAGGGGCAGGGCCAGTGTCCGTCCTCCCTCCATGGGGTGCAATTGGGAGACTTGCCCAAGACACCCGGGAGGACAGGGCGGGACCTCTCAGGGTGGCTTCAGTGGCCTTACCCCAAGAATGCCCTTCCCGGGAACCTGCTTCCTCCCACACTCAGACAGACGCCTCCATGTGCTCAGGCGGAACTCCCGCTTCCTTCCAGATTTGACCCCTCTGCCTCCCTGGACTTCCTCTGGGCCTGTATCCATGTTCCTCGCATCTGGCAGGGCAGGGACCAGCGCACGCCGCAGGCAAGTCTTTGGGGGTGGCCCGCCCCCAAGAGGGCTGGCACGTCCTGGGGCTGACCAGTGGATGCCTCGTTGCAGAAGCGGCGGGAGGAGCTGGCGCTCCGGGTCCAGGCTCCGGAGCTCATCAGCCTGGTGGAGCTGATCCTGGCTGAGGCGGAGACCAGGAGCCAGGATGGGGATGCCGCCGCCTGCAGCCTCATCCAGGCCCGGCTGCCTCTGCTGCTCAGCTGCTGCCGCGGGGACGATGAAGGTGTCAAGAGAGTCTCCGAGCACCTGACGGGCTGCATCCAGCAGCGAGGGGACAGGTGATTAGGGCCCCATCCCCCTGGGGTACTGCCCTCATGTGAGGTCTGCGGGAGGAGTCCTGGCCTGGGCAGGACAGCTCCCTTCAGTGGCGTCCCGCCTGTGGCTCAGAGTAGCTCACAGCAGACAGCCTGGCCCCCACCCCGTACACCCAGCAAGCCCTGCCTCTCTCTTCCAGCGTGCTGGGCAGACGCTGCCGAGACTTGCTCCTACAGCTCTACCTGCAGCGGCCAGAGCTCCGGGTGCCTGTGCCTGAGGTCCTGCTGCACAGTGAGGCCGCCACTGGCAGCAGCATCTGCAAGGTGAGGATGCAGCTCTGCCTGCTGCACGCCAGATGTCCTGTGTGCCCTGGCTGGGGAGAGGGCGGGAGGGTGGAAGCCACCAGCCTGACAGGCCGCCTTCCCCGGGGCAGCCGGGCCCCTCCATGAGGACTGGCTCTCGAGGCTCTGGAGGTACAGGTGGCCATGGCCATCCCTCCTGTGTTGGCAGGGTGATAGACACCCAAACCAGGACATGGAGGAATGCGTTTTCTCAGATTTTAAAAAAATGGGATGTGGTGAGCAGCGGTGGTGTGTGAGTGGCCCTGCCTGCCCTCCCTCTTCTTAGGGCAGAGTCTGCTCCGCCACGCACTCCTGCTGCAACCTCTGGGGGCCCAGAGGGAATCTCTCTCCTTAGAGAAATCCTGTGGGCTGTGGAGCAGGGACGAGCATGGCATTGCTAACCTACAGGAGGCTACACGTGTGTAGTGGCCAGTTTGTTAGGTGTTGCCATAGGTGCACCCACGAGACCCTCGCCACAGACAAGGTGGTTCACCTGCTACCCCAGGAGGGTCCTGGGCCCTGCGGGTGCCCCCCAGCCCACTACTGCTCTGCTGTCACTGTGGATTTATTTGCATTTTCTAGAGTTTTGAGTCAGTGCAACTGCAATGGGTGCTGTTGGGCCTCAGCAGAGTTGAGGTCCACTGTGTTGCAGCGGGCACATCTCATTGCCGAGTGGTATCCACATGTGGACAGGCGGGTCGGTTTATCCACTTACCTGGTGGACATTTGGGTCGTTTCCAGTTTGGGCCAAGGACGGCTGCTATGAGGGCTCGTGCACAAGCGTCCACTTCTTTCGAGTGCGCCCCAGGGACTGGAGGGCCAGCGCTCCTATGCCCACTCCGTCACTGGCCATGCAGTGGGTCTGCAGCCTGCCCTCTGCTCTGCGTGACCAAGGGAAAATTGGCTTTTTTCCATTTCTCCTGTCTTTTTCCACTTACGGATTGCTTTACAGGGTTGAAATCATACTTCATAGGCAATTTTGGCTTTTTTTCCCACTCAACATGTCATTTGGCATTTGGTATTGAAAGGCTAATTTCCAGTACTGTTTGTTTGAGCATGTCTGGAGCCGACTGTGGCCTAAGCTCTCGAGGTGTTTGGGAGGCTGGGAGGGAGCAATCCCTCTGGGTGCGGCGTCACACTGTCAGGGCCAGCAGCCAGGCTGGGTGTGGGGCAGACGGCCCCGGGCCTCAGATCTCCCTTCCTCCCAGCTGGACGGCCTCATCCACCGTGTCATCACCCTCCTTGCGGACACCAGTGACTCCCGCTCGTCCGAGAACCGAGGGGCAGATGCCAACATGGCCTGCCGGAAGCTGGCCGTGGCCCACCCCATCCTGCTGCTCAGGTACCTCTCAGCCTGACTCAGCCACCTGCAGCCCGGGGGAACCTAGGGTCTGACCTTGCGCCGGCCTTGCCCTTCCCTGCTCCCAAATCCGAGCAGGTGCTCCTGCGGGTGTTCCGAGTCCTGTCCCTACTCCAGATGTTAGTTTACAAGAGGGTTCTGTGGCTAGAACCTAACGTGGGCAAACCAGAGCCCCTGCCTGGGGTGCGGCAGCTGGGGCAGGTCAACTGCTGGCCTTTGGCTGAGCCCAGGTGGGAGGAGCCAGGCAGACCCCAGTGGGGCAGGCCAGAGGAGCCCCCTTCTCCCAGACCACCCAGCACCTGGGGTGGGGTGGGTGAAGGGTGAGGATAGCATGGTGCCAGGCCCTGGCTCCCCAGCTGCTCCCAGACCCACAGTGCTGGAGCTCGGTAAGCCGTGTCAGTGGGTGCCCTCCCAGGGCTGTGTGTGTGAGCTGGGGGCCTGGGTGTGGTCACCTTGCCCGGTGTCTCATCCCCAGACACCTGCCTATGGTCGCTGCCCTTCTGCACGGCCGCACCCACCTCAACTTCCAGGAGTTCCGGCAGCAGAACCACCTGACCTTCTTCCTGCACGTGCTGGGGCTGCTAGAGCTGCTGCAGCCCCTGGTGTTCCAGGGCGAGCACCAGAGGGCGCTGTGGGACTGTCTGCGCTCCTTCGTGCGCCTGCTGCTGGTGCGTGCCTGTGCCCTGCCTGAGCGTTCTGGGTCCCTCCGCCCCTCTGCTGCCTCAGCCCCCACAGCCCTACCAGGTCTGTCTTTCCAGCCGGGACTGGAAGGGCTCCCACAGGAGAGCCGAGCCCTTTAGCCAGGGCCAGGCTGCCTGTCCCATAGTTTGTGCTTCCCCTGCTCGACTGGGGACCAGCTCTCACCCCAGGAAGTCCCCTGCCCTCCAACCTCATGTGCCTGGGAGCCTCACGTTCCCAAGAAGCCCGGCTCAGACCTCAAGACTGCTTTCTGCATGCCGTTCGGGCCGTGATGATCCCATAACCCATCTTGTCTCATGCTCCAGCTGGGCACCTGTGCATCTGCGCCACGAACCCACGAGGGGGAGGGCCGTGGCTGAGCACCTCTGGGACTGCCGTGGTCGGCAGAGGTGGGTGTGGTGACCGTGTCGAAGGTGCTCGGCTTCCCCTTTGCAGAACTATAGGAAGTCCTCCCGCCAGCTGGCCGCCTTCATCAGCAAGTTCGTGCAGTTCATCCACAAGTACATCACCTGCAATGCCCCCGCAGCGGTGTCCTTCCTGCAGAAGCATGCCGAGCCGCTCCAGTGAGTGCCTGCCCAGCCCGTGCAGGCTCCCGGGAAGCCTGGGCCTCTGCTGGGGTCCTGCCAGAGGATGAGGGGCGGAGGTTCCGGGAAAGGAGCTCCCGAGCAGCTGAGCAGAAATGCTGTCTGTGGTGCTTGGGCTCAGGCCTTGTCGAGCTGCTTAGGTCTGGATACAGAGCCGTGGTGGCAGGCGCTCCGCTCTGCACCGGGGCCCTCTGAAGTCTGAATCGTTCCCTGTGGCCCTCTGCCCCACTTCACACACACGCGGCCTCCTGCCTGCCCCTCCCCAAGTGTCCTGCTTCTCTCCCACGTCTGCCCTGCTGACCTCCAGCCTCTGCCTGCGTCTTCCTCCTGGGTGAAAATGTTGTCTTCTCCCCAGCGACCTGTCCTTTGACAACAGTGACCTGGCGATGCTGAAGTCCCTCCTTGCAGGGCTCAGCCTTCCCACCAGGGCCAGCAGAGCCGACCGGGGCCTAGAGGAGGAGGGCGAGGGTGAGTGGGGCCTCGGGTCCACAGGGAGAGGCAGCAGGGCCAGCCTGGAGGGTCTGGTCTTCCCAGACAGCACGGCTAACCCTGGATCGTCCATGGTGTCCCTGTGGCGGCTTCGTGGGCCCCGGGACCTCACTGGTCCCCGGTCCGTTTCATGCATGTAAAGTACTGACCGGTGTGTGGTCGGTGTAGCTCAGCAGCAATGTCCCTGCCCCTGGGGTCCCACTGGCAGGTGTCAGCTCCCCAGGAAGCTTTCTGGGCCCTCCTGGGCAGGGCTTGCCCTCAGTTGCCCACTCACATCCCCATCTCAGCCCATGGCTCTTACCCGCCTGCTGGTGACGTGGGGGCTGGGCAGTTGCTGGTTGTTACGGCTGTTGGGCAACCTGGTTCCACCAAATTATTTTGAGTGTAACTCTTTGGCATTCCGTGGAAACAGGGCACATAAGCACCTTCGTAGAGCACGTGCCAGGCCTCAGGCTGCAGAGGGAACAGCTCCCGCCTCGCGGTGCTGCTCCAGGGACAAGGGAGGACGCCCTCTCCAGTTGGTCGTGTCAGGTGCCATGAGGAGCAGAGCCGAGTCTCCAAAGGCTGCTCCCAGTGGGGTCCTTGTGCCACCACACTTAGTGCCTGCCACGTGCTTGGCCCTGGGCCGTGGCTGGGGTGCTCCTGGGGAGGGCGGCTCTGGTGCCTGGTCCGTGGCTCCAGCCTCCCCGGCACTGACTTGCTCACCCTGCAGACGAGAGCGCAGCCGGCTCCCTGCCCCTGCTCAGCGTGTCCCTCTTCACTCCTCTGACCACGGCCGAGATGGCCCCCTACATGAAGAGGCTTTCCCGGGGCCAGACTGTCGAGGGTGAGTCGAGGGGCCTGGTGTCACCCACACGAGGTCAGTGCCTGTTTGGCCACCAGTGTCCTGGGTCCCACGGAGGCTGCAGGCAGCAGCCATCCGGCCACTGACTTCAGGGACATGCAGGGAACAGGATGGCCCCACCCAGCCATGGAAGGGGTGGGCTGTTTCCATGAGGGGCGTCTCCCCTCAGAGAGCATGTTAGAGGAAATTCAGGGAGCCAAGTGGCTACTCTGCCCCAGACAAAGCAGGATACCAAGGAGCCCACTGAAATGTCTGGGTACTTCAGAGGAAAGGCCAGGGGGTGGCGGCGGGGTGGGGGGGCAGTTGGTTGAATTCCAGAGGAGAGCCAGGGGTGGGCAGCAGGCAGAGTTGGGCTGTGGGGCTCGGAGTGACCCATCTGCAAGTCAGGTCCCCTTGCTGGAGGCCAGCACTTGGGGGCTGGACAGGCGTCTGGTGGGTGGGACTAATGCAGGTCTTAGCGAGGGGTAGCGTGCCTGGGAAAGCTTCCTGGAGCCCACACTGGGTGTCGCTGACCTGGGGGTTGGGAAGCCAGCAGCACTTTCCTGAGGTGCGTGGGGACATGCCCCCTGCCTCTGGCTTGCTTGGGTGGAGTGGACAGGGGTCCTTCCCGGCCCCAGCAGCTGTGGCCTATCCCAGCCTGGCCCTCTGTGCCTGTCTTAGACCTGTTGGAGGTTCTGAGCGACATAGACGAGATGTCCCGGCGGAGACCTGAGATCCTGAACTTCTTCTCGGTGAGCAGGGGCGGGCCAGGGAGAGCTGGGAGCAGCTGCTCCAATGGGAACGCCCGCTAGGGCAGCCTTCCCCAACACCCTCGCTCCTGCCCTGAGCCCCACAGAGCCCTCCGTGGGCCAGGCCCTGGCCCAGATGCTGACAGCACAGCAGGCGCCAAGGCAGGCCCCGGCTCTGCCCCAGGCAGGAAGTGGCCACCACTGAGTGCTTCCAGCTGTCCAGTGGGGAGCTTAGGCAACAGTCCCCTATCATTGCCCCTGACCACCACAAAGCTGAGAGGCTGAGAAGTGAGGGTTTGGGCCCTCGATGGGGGATCACCGTGGTAACACCCTCCACCCTGCCCTGGCCAGACAAGCCTGCAGCGGCTGATGAGCTCGGCTGAGGAGTCCTGCCGCAACCTGGCCTTCAGCCTGGCCCTGCGCTCCATCCAGAACAGCCCCAGGTGAGCCCGGCATTGCCCCAGAGGGCTGAGGGTCCGGCCTCCTGACCGGGCCCTCTGACACTCCTGCGGACGTCACTGCTGGCCCATGCAGTGGTCAGGCAGGCTTCTAGGCAGATCAGCTCGCCTCATCCAGCCAGGACCTGGCCTGGGCTCTGGGGCTGGGGGAGGTGCCCACCGAAGCACGTGGCTCTTTCAGCATCGCAGCCGACTTCCTGCCCACGTTCATGTACTGCCTGGGTAGCCGGGACTTCGAGGTGGTGCAGACGGCCCTCCGGAACCTGCCTGAATACACCCTTCTCTGCCAAGGTAAGCCACCATCCCCATGATCGGCTCTCAGGAAAGCCCTGGGGGCGCATCTGCCACGAGCTGCCTGACCACCGTTGTTGGGAACCCTGAGGTCTGGTCTCGTGGCCAGTGTGGCTTTGCAGGGCCTGTTTCCCCACAGAGCACGCTGCCGTGCTGCTGCACCGGGCCTTCCTCGTGGGCATGTACGGCCAGATGGACCCCAGCGCCCAGATTTCCGAGGCCCTGAGGATCCTGCACATGGAGGCCGTGATGTGAGCCCGTGAAGCCGACCTGCACAGCAGCCTCGGGCCCCAGCATGGCGGCTGGCGTGCCCAGGGCCAAGCCCCAGAGGGCCGGTCCTGCTGGTGGTCTCGCCTGGGCTGAGCGGAGGGCGCTGAGCCCTGAGGCTGGGCAGGGCCTGGGACCAGCTGCCCACATGGGGGGCTCCTCTCTGCTGAGGCCGTGACACCTCTCAGGTCTTGGCCCTGCTGTGAGCAGTGGGGGGACATGGCCCAGCACAAGGGGAGGCCAGTGTCCCGGCCAAGCATGGCAAGGGGCTGGTTGTGAATGAAACATTCTGGATTCTTTGTGTGCTGTCTGGTGTGTTATGTCCCCACCGGGGGCACCAGGGGCTTGAACAGGATCCTGGGAGGTGGGGGCCGAGGACAGGCCGAGATCCTCAGCTGTGGGCATCTCTTTCTGGGAGCTGAGGGAGCCCATTCTGAAACAATACAGCCAGGGGTGCTGCCTGGGCTTGCCTTCCCAAGCAGGGGCTGAGGGAAGAGGGTAAGAGCAGTTCCCCTCTGCAGAGGACTGAGAAGGGAGCCCGGAGTGGAGTCAGCCAGCGTCCCCAGGGTGAAGCTGTGCCTGGCAGGAGCCCTGCCATTACCGAGGGGTGGGCGGCTGTGCCCACATTTGCAGGGTACAGGACGCTGATGGGCCTGGGCCACACCGGGCTTTTCTCCCTTCCAGCCCCCGTCTTCCCCTTTCAGTTGGGGTTAGAGCTGTCCCTTCCCCTCTGTCCTCACAGCGGAGAGGTCATCTTTCCCCACACAGAAGTGACCTGCCAGGCAGGGTCCAGCCACTCGGGCCTCCAGGCGACACTCTGACTAGAAAAGCCAGCCCAGGCCCCTACCAAAAGCCCCTGGGACAGGCCTGGGGCCGGTGGTCCTTAGAGTTGCTTTGGCCTCTGGAGGTGCCTGACAGATACCCCTTAAGTGGGAGGCTATGGCTCTAGGCCCCCAGCCCTGCCCCGCCCAGCCATTGGGGCCAGCCCTCCTGCTGCATCCACCTTCCTGAGGGCCTCATGCCAGCCACTCCTGCGCCCACCCACCTGCCCTCCCAGAATCTCCTGAGGCTACAAGGGTCTGGGGCAGAAGGCTGCCCTGGAAGTGACTCGAAGGCCAGCTGGCCAGAAAGTGAACAGTAGGAACCGTCCCCAGGTGGCCAAGGGCCACTGAGCAGCTCCTGTGCCCAGCTGTGCAGGACAGCGCTGCCCCACTTTGGCCCTCTGCCCTAGCCACATCCTCAGTGGGGACAGTAGTGGCACCCTCCACGTGGGGAGCACCCAGCATGGCCCTGAGCACAGGGCCAGCCCGTCCTGGCTCCCACAGCTCCAGCAAGCTGCCCCTAGCACCTGCTGCAGTGCACGCTCGGGCCTCATCCAAGTTCTGCCTGTCCCCACCTGCCTCCTCCAGGAAGCTCCAGGGCGCCCCCGGCCCTCGTTCTTGGCTGTCAGGCCTCACTGTGTGGCCTGCAGTGCCTGGCATAGGGGTTAGAAGGCCAGGCCCTACCACCTTGCCCGTCGCCGGTGCCGAGTCTGGCTGCTGGGAGTCGCCATGTCCAGGATGCCACCGTTTGCACCACATCATCTCACACAAAGCCGCCTGCCCTCCAGGCTCTGGTAAGAGCCACCAGCCCGTCCTCATACCGTCACATGCTGCCACCTCAACCCAGACCACCTGGCAGGGAGCGTGGCCTGTTCCCATCTCACGGCTAGGGAGACAGGTCCCCAGAAATGCAGGAAGGTGCAGGGACTCGGTGGTGAGGGAGGAGTGGGGCTGGAGCCCACACCCGTCCCAGTCACACTGTCTCGTTCTTCATGCAGCAGAGAAAAGGGGACAGCAAAGGGCTCATCAGTGTATCAGGAGAGGCTCAGCCTCACTCAGGGGAGAAATGAGATGGTGACAGCCCAGGCTGCGTTCCCACCTTTGGATTGGCAAATTGAGACATTTGGTGACCAGCTCTGCCAGGGTGTGGGGAGGCAGGTGGCAGCATGGATGGCTCAGTCACACAGAGGGGTGGTCTGGCAGCGGCCACCAAAATTCACACCCAATCCCACTTGGAGGGGTTTATCCGCATATGTCCCCAGATGCCAGGCCCTACAGGAGGTGTCAGCGTGACCCTGGAGGGGACTGGACAGGCCCAGCATGGCTTTCCCGGGGCAATATTGGGCCACCATGGAACCAGCAGGGGGCCCTCCGTGTCAGGGCGCCTTGCCGAGGGGCTACATGTGCACGTCGTGTGGCAGCAGGCTCAGGCGCTCACAAGATGTTCCCTGCAGTGTGCTGAGCGCCAGCCCTCATGACTGTCACGAGGAGACGAGCTCAGAGAGGTAGAGCCAGTAGTGGGGCAAACAGCTCCCAGAATTCACACCAAGCCGATGGCTTCTGCAGCCCGTGGAGGGTGGCACCAGCACTGTTGCATCCCAGAGGACAGCCATGGGGGGGGCATGGCCGGCTTTGACACTGGCAGAGGTGGAGCCAAGACTAGGCCTGGGTACCATGTCCCAGTGGGTGAGAGCCCCCAAGGCCCGTGCCGGGGAAGACTGAGCTGGGCAAATACATAGGTGGATTTGGAATCTGTGTGCGTGAGGGGGTGTCTGGCAGGGTGGGCAGGACCACGAGAGCAAAGGGATGATAGTGCCGGCGCTGGGACAGAGGAGCAGGATGTGGATGGACCAAGGGCCAGTGGAGTCTGGCCACAATCCCTGCCTGGCCTCCCCCCTTCCCTGACACCCCTTGCTCCTCACCCATGGCCACCCCACAGGGACCCTGGGGACTGGCTCTGGGGGCACATGGCAGGCCCCTGTGTCACTGGTAGCTGTGCGCAGGCCCCTGCCGTCTGTTCTGGTGGCGGCTGTGGCAGTGGGCTGCCCTTTACAGGGTGACCCCTGGAGCGCAGGCAGCCCTGGGAGCCCACGGGGGTCTGGGCCCAGCCCTGCAGTCCCCTTCATTCTGGGGAGAAAAGGGAGACCCAGGGGAGGTTGCTGAGCCAGGTCCAGACAGGGTCAAAGGGCAGCGTTCCAAGGCCTTCCTATGGCCTCTGACCGGTCCCTGGGCTTCCTTCACCAGAGTGGGCGGGGAAGGTTGCCACAGTGAGGAGCTCATATGCTCCCTCACAGCCTAAAAACAAACACTTGCTGGTTTCATTCTCAGTTCTGGGTGGAGACGGCCCCTACCTTCAAACAGGCAGACAGAGGCCACTGAGCAAGGCCCGCGAAGGTGTGGGCAGCCTCTGCCCCAAGCTGCTGGAGCAGGCGCAGCCCAGGTCTCACCCACACTCAGCCAGGAGGCCAGCCCCACCTCGCAGATGAGGGCAGAGAGGCCCACAGTGGCCCATGGTCATGTGGCTGTCCCCAGAGGCTGCTCAGGGGACCTGGGCCCAGACACACCCCCAGCCCCAGCTTCCTTCCTCAGAGCGACTTAGATCTCTGAGCCAGTTAGACCCAGGCAGTGGCAGGGTCACTTTAGGTGTCTAGGAAGGGGAGGACGTGACAGACGGCAGCTCCTTCCCTTGTGGGAGGAGACCTGCTAAGGGCTCTGGGGAGGATAGGCAGGCAGAGCTGGGAGTCCCAGTTATCTCCCCTGACACCCTCATGGGTCCAGACCCAAAAGGACACCCTTCCAATGCCGGGCCCGCCTGGCTCACAGAAGATCCAGCCTGGGCACTCACTGGAGGCACCATTCTGCCCAGGGAAGTCGGGAAGGGGCTGTTCAGAGAAGGTGGCATGTCAGTGGGTTTTGAGGGATGAATAGGAGTTTTCCAGGCGAGATCCTTCAGCTCATGAACTTGCTGTTGGGGGCACAGGGCTCTCACTGGGTGGGGGGTAATGAGCCCACAACCCTGGTTTTCTCACCTGGTGCCCTCCTGGTCTGGCCTGGAGGGGACTGCAGGGCTTGGTGAAGCCCAAGGAGTGGGCCTGGTACGTAGAGGGTTCCTGGGGCGCTGTTCCAGTGGTAGGGAGACCAGAGTGCTGGGAGGGGAGCGTGTCAGGGAGCAGTCACACCCCCTCCCTACGGTGGGAAACATGGGGAGGGGATCTGCTTGGGGCAGAACTTCAGGCTGCAGAGCCCAGGGCCCCGCTGACCACCATCTGCTTTGCACACCTGGGCCACTGCTGGCACCTGCCTCCTGGGGCCATAGGGTCCCAAGGGCCTCTGGGGCTGGGGTGCTGTGGAGGGGCTACTGGGTCCCAAAGATCCCTTAGGCCCGCTTAATCCCTGGTCAGCATCCCCGCAGGACCCCAGGAGAGCCTTTGGGATGACAAAGCCATCCCAGAGCTGCAGGGCTGACAGGTGGCCTGGTCGGAGGCCAGAGCAGGGTCGGGACCGACACCAGAGTGCCAAGCCCTGCTCCCCGGCTGTGGCCTTGAGTCAATTGCTTCCCCTCTCTGAGCCTATTCCCCCATCTGCAAAATAGGCATGAAATAACGCCCGAGGCTCCGGGTGGCCATGAGGATTGTGTGTGAGCACATAGAAGGTGCTTGGTGCTGGGCATCTGCCACTGTTATCTCTGTTCTGTGAACAGAGAGGTGCTGTGATCTGGCAAGGACACACAGCAATCAGGAGCAAGCTGAGTCTCTTCCGTCTGCCCAGGTCCTGGCGCCTGGCGCCCCGTCAGCCTGTGTGCGAGCTGTTTACTGGGGGGGCCCATTACAAGGAGTTCCTATAAATGGCATGAGGAGGATTAATAATGTATTTATAACACATCGTCGTGGTAGCCGAAAATGATCTATAAATGTGCAGTAAATGTTTTATAATGTTTTTGTAACCCGTTATAAATGATAAATGGCAGACTATAGATGCTGGATCAAATATTTATAACGCATTGTGTGCGACGTTGGGCTGCTACAGTTCAGGAAAGCCATTAATAATAAAGTGAATGGAAATGTAAAAGTTACAGACATGCCCAGCAAAGCCATTTATAATGAAATGTAAAATTTGGCTGTTGGAAGCAACCCACGAGCCCGCCGAAGCCCTGGCCAGGTTCTCCTGGAGGCCGAGGAAGGAGCAGGGTCGTGAATTATTTGTGAGATGTTCAGAGAGCGTGTATACCATCCATAGCACGCCATATAAATGCTATTAATATGCCCAAGGTGGCATGCATTATTCATTGGGCCTAATTAATTAATGGGTGGCCCCTTAAAATGGGGTGTCACAGCTTCCCACTGGTTCTCCTGCCTGGGGCTGCAGGGATGGTGTTGGCGTCCACCGTGGCCTGAGTGAGCTGTTTGCTGACCGTGGTCTGGGGATGGGGGAGGAGGCAACATCCTTTGGATGCTCTGCAGTGAGGCCAGTGTGACACCCCCACTATCGCCAGGGTCCTGTGAGCAAGTCGGTTTGGGAACCTGTGCGGTGCCACTCCCTCTCCACAGCGCAGGTCAGGGGTGAAGGCTTGACGGCTCCGAGGGGGCACCACATGCCCAGGACACCCCCCATTCTCTCTGTCATGGTTTCTGCCCCAAGGCTCAAGGGACTGATTCTGCTCTGGCTTGGTCCATCAGCCTTGATCGGATCAGGTATTTGGGGTTGAATTTACAGGCCCCACCCACCCTCCAAGCCTGGTGCCTGAGCCCCCGACTGCAGCCCGTCCCGGGTGCCCAGCCACCAGCTGTCCTCCAGGAGCTAAGCTGGCCCGCAGGCAGAGCTGGATTTTGGGATTGAAAGGAGCAGTGAGTCCCTTGGCCCCTGTCCCTCCCTGGGCCCTAGCACTGTCCCTGCCACCCGATGGGCTGAGATACCCCTTACGTGGAGGCAGGAAGGGGGGAAACTGAGACTGGCCTGGAAACCCTGTCCAGGGTGGCCACGTGGGTAGGACACCAGCTGGGCCGACCTGCTTCCCGGGGCCTGGGCTGCTGCCTGGCTGATAAGATGGTCTTGTCTCCTCTCAGAACCTCAGTTTTTTGAGCTGCAGAACAGGCAGAGCCACTTCTGTTCAGATGACAAATGGCAAGACAGGGTCTCACTATGTTGCCCAGGCTGGGGTGCAGTGGCCATTCACAGGCACGATCATAGCTCACTGCAGCTTCCAACTCCTGGCCTTAAGTGATCCTCCCACCTCAGCCTCCCGAGTAGCTGGGACTATGGGCGTGTGCCACCATGCACAGCTACTTTTTAAATTTCTCTGTAGAGACGGGTTCTCACTATGTTGCCCTGGCTGGTCTCAAACTCCTTGCCTCAAGCCATCCTCCCGCCTCAGCCTCCTGAGCAGCTGGGACTGCAGGTGTGTGCCACCATACCCAGCTGGGAGCCACTCTAAACGGTGGCTGTAAGTATCAAGAGAAAATGGGTGTGGAAATTGATAGAAGAGGCTGGGGTAGGGCCTGCTGAACCGTGCCGAGCATCACCCCCCACCCCTCCCTGCCCTTTCTTCTGCAGCTGCCCATCCTCTGCTCCAGCCACACCAGCTTCTGGTCACATGCTCCTCCATGCCTGCATTGCTACTGCAGGCCTTTGCACATTCTGCCCCTCTGCCCTCGGTTCCCCTGCCCCCACCCTCCAGAAAGCCATTGCTCTCTGCAGGGTCCCCTGCACTCTCCCTTCTGGGAGCCACTGGAGCCTTTCAGGGCCGCTCTGTTCCTCCGTTGGGCCCTGGCTCCCCATCTGGCCTGCTCCCGCCCCTGTGCTGCTTTGAGGAGTCTTCACCCACACGAGCCTCTCTGGGGGACCCACCGCCTTCCTGCCTGCTCTTGCAACGACCTTCTCTCTCAGCCTCCGTTTCCTCATGGGCAAAGGGACATCATATTCTCCCCCCACAAGGGTTACTCCACAGCCAGGCACACAGTAGGCACTCGATAAATGCAACTGTCTTGTGCTCACACTTGAGCCCCAGGGCAAGGAACAGGTAAGAGCTGGGTGAGCTAAACAGGCCCCCGGGAGGGGGCTCCAGACCCCAGGCCCTTCAGAAAGCTGGGTATCCCAGCTGAGACGGGCTGGGCAGCGGCTCCGAAGGCCCCCCAGGGTGGGCGTGGCCAGGGAGAGGCGGGCGCCTGAATAGGGCTGGGAGGCCTGATAAGGACCGGACTTTATTCACACAGGGGCCAGGGAGGCTTCCAGCAGGGGAAGTACTAGGCCAGATTGGCTTTCTAGAAAGATCCCTTGAGCTTCGGGGATGGGGGGGGTGTGGTGACTGGAGGGGCAGGAGGTGGCCCAGGGAGGCTGGCATGGCAGGCAGGGGCCGGATGGCCATGGTCTGGAGGGAGAGGTGGCAGGGCGGGATGGGTCTCAAACGTGCAGCTGTAACCCCTAAGAGTTGACCCCAGGCCACCCCCTAGGCTGCTCCCTCCGAGGGAGGTGGGTGAGCCCAAACCGCTGCCTGCCCCTCCTCCACCCCCCACTTCTTGATCTTTACCTTCCCTACCAGCTTTTCCGGTTCTCCTAACCTGACCGCTGCCCTGGGGGTCGAGAGAAAACCGGTGCCAGGACCAGGTGCCAGGACCAGTACCTGCTGAACCAGCATGACATCACCAGTTGTCCCCTTGCTGGGAGCTCTCCTGGCAATCAGGGACTGCAGCAGAGCATTGTCATAGTCAGTGACAACCCCAGGCCACAGGGGGCTCCTTGCCTGGCACCTGCTTGCATGCTCCCCATGACAGCTCACCACCTACACAGGCTTTGCTTGCACTGTTGGGCAGCAGGCCCACCAGGGGCTCTCTTCAGCGCCCTGGCTCAGGAAAGAGCTGCAACACCACAAGTGCCTTGGGTTGGGAAACCTTGGGTACTGCTCTTTCCAACGGGCACAGCAAAGCCGCCCCAAGTCCTTGCCAGGGGCCACTTGTGGGAAAACACTTTCCTTCTGCGAGCCTTGCCTGGACAAGCCCTGGGCCCTGGTGGAGGGGAGGGTGAGGCCATCTCACATTTCTGGCCTCATCCAGCCACGTGGCCACAGACAAGAAGAGAAGAATGGAGAGGGGCTGGCCTGGGTGATTTTCCTTAATTACACAAGAGGGACTTTTCCTTATTGCGTGAGTCACAGATTCTCAGAGTGGAAAACTGGGAACCACTCCCCCAAAGAGGGCACTCGGGTAGGAACTCCTTGTGCAGCCTGGCACCACGGCTCCTTTCCCAGCCTCAGTTTCCCCTTCAGCATGCACCAGGCAAAGGACCGCTGTTCCAGCCTCAGTTTCCCCATTTGTCAACAGGCCTTTCCTTCCACTTCTCCATGAGGGTGGGGTGGAGGTGGTGGTCGGGTGGGACGGAGAAAGAAAGAATGTTCCGAGGTTCTTGTAGGCGGCCGGCCGGCCGGCAGGCCAGGGCCCCAGGTCACCCGCTCTCCCTTCCCGGGTCCGGAACTGCGGCCGGCTGGGGCGGGGGCGGGGCCGGCCCGCGGCTGGGGGCGTGGTCTGGGCGAGAGTTGGGGCGTGGTCTGGCAGCGGGTGGGGCGGGGCGGCCGGGCGGGAGCCTATGCCGGAGTCCGGCTGCGTGGGGGCGGGGCCGTGCGGGGGCGGGGCCGGCGGGAACGCGGCCTGCGGGCGGCTCTGCCGCGCTCCGGATCGGCGGCGGCGGTGGCTGTCTGTCCTCCAGCGTCCGCCGTCCTCCCGCGCCCCGCCGTCCTCCCGCGCCCCGCCGTCCTTCCGCGCCCGCCGCCCTCCCACGCCCGCCGTCCTCCCACGCCCCGGGGCGCTGGGCGGCCGGCCCGCGTCCCCGCGGGTGCGGGCGCTGCCCATGGCGGCACTCCGGGCGCTGCAGCAGTGGTGCCGGCAGCAGTGCGAGGGCTACCGCGACGTTAGCATCACCAACATGACCACGTCGTTCCGCGACGGCCTGGCCTTCTGCGCCATCCTGCACCGCCACCGGCCCGACCTCCTGTGAGTGCCCCGCGGCGTCCGCGCCCTTTGACCCCTCTGCAGGGCAGCGGGCGGCAACTCGGGCGGGGAAACTGAGGCCTGGGCCTGCTCCGGGCTCGGGCGATGGGGAGCGGGGTCGGAACTCCCCGGCCGCGGGCCCCTGAGGTGGCCGGTGTGGGGCTGGGCAGAGCCGGGTCCTGCAGGCACAGCCCACCCGGCCCCCCGAAGACCCCCGGTTGCCTCAGTTTGCCTGTCCACCGAGTGGAGCTGGGCCCAGGCCAGGATATCCGCCGCCCCCGCTGGCTTAGTCAGTCCGTGACTCAGGGCAGTGTCCTGGGCTCTGGCTACAGCCCCCCCACCTCCACTCCCTGGGAAAGGGCCAGCAAGCTGCTTCTCTAGGCCCTCCGAGACCCTCTCTGTCCTGGGCTGCACCACCAAGTCGGGTCACTCGGGGTTCTAGTGTGGGCTGTGCCACTCTTCCCCGTGTCTGGGCACCCTTGGGAGTGCAGCCCAGGGCTGCTGTGGGGGAGGGCCCAGGTGCCACTGGCCAGGCCTCTGCACACTACGTGATAGGGGATGAGGTGGAGAATGGACCCTATCCCTGGAGCTGCCGCAGGGGGCAGGGGCTGGGGGCTAGGCCATCTTCCCCCAGGAGGATCATGGCGTGGGTGGCTGGAAGGCTGGCCATGCCTTGCTCCTGATTCTTGGCCTGAGCCTGGATCTGCTCCATCAGTTATTCACTCAGCAAACGCACTTTGCCTGAATGACTGGGACCAGGCTTACTGGGTTAGAGATCTGTGCACCTGGGCTGGGTGGCAGAGGTTCAGGAACGGGGTCCTCAGAAGGCCACCTGCAGCCCAGGCACCTTCATTCTGAGAAGCTGTGGCTGGAGCCAAAGCTGGGGTAGGGGGGTGTGTTTGCTAGGAAGGTATCGGGGGAAACTGAGCCCAGAGAGGAGGGGTCCTTGTTCAGGCCACATGGCACATCAAGCAGAGCCTGGGCTGGCACCAGGGCCCCTCCCCTGTACCCCCAAGCATTGCCCCCAAGACCACTCTCCATGGGGAGCTGGAGTCTTGAGCAAGAGGCCTCAGCTCTGGGGCTCTGGCCCCAAGGTTGTGAAATGTGTTCCTGGAGCTGCCTGGGGGCCTCCATGTGTTCAGGCAGCAGCTTCTGCTCCGCCCCCTCCCCCGGGGATGTGCCTCAGTCACCCTTGGAGGCAGAAGACCTTGGGCGCAATGTGCTTCCACATGAAAGCCTAAAGCTGAGCTTTGACCTGGGACTGGGAGAAGGACCGCAGTGGGGAGGTTGGAGTCCCGGGTCCTGGGTGAGGCTGAATGGTGGCCAAGCCCAGGCGGGGCCAGCTTGAAGTCTTCAAGTGGAGGGAGAGGTGGTGCTACGGACTACCGGCCCAGCAGCTTCCTAGTGAGCAGGTGTCACTGGGGATTTAGGTCCTTCCCAGCCCTGGGGAACTTCCACCTGCTCCCAGCTGTGCTGGGGTCAGAGGCCGGGGTGTGCACGTGGCACCTGGCCCAGCACACATTGCTCCCGGAGGAGCACAGGTGCACACACAAGTGTATGTGTGCTGGCACAAGCAGGCATCATAGATCCGTTCACTTAACTGATAGTTATTGGGCGCCTGCTGTATACCCAGAACTGTGTAGCGTATAAGATCCCCGCAGCCCCCAAAGGCAGGAGCAACATTCTGGTCTCAGAGACAGACAGTGAGCAGGTAAATGAATCAAAGCTCAAGGTGACTCCCAACAGTGGAGGGGCCACCCCTGCAGCAACACGTGCGTATGACTGACGGACTACTGACTTGGTTACTGTCTGTCTGTCCCTCTGGACTGAGCTCCAGGGCTAGGGGTGTCGGTTTTGTTCTCTGCCGTATCCACAGTGTCTGGCACCGAGCTTGGCACGTGGTGTGGGAGGACATGGTGGGTGCTTGGCAGGTGCCCGTGTGCAGAGGGAGCGGGAGGCCGTGTGCCCACGCAGGCAGAGGTTGGGGTGATGCAGCCTCAGCCAAGGGGCACCTGGGACTGGAAGAGCAGCCCCGGAGCCTCTGGCGGGAGCGCGGCCCTGCCCACACGTTGGTGTCAGACTTCTGGCCTCCAGAACTGCGAGTGGACAAATTCCTGTTGTTTGAAGCCTCCCAGTTTGTGGTGATTTGTTAGAGGAGCCGTAGAAACAAGTACAGGTCTCCACAGGTGCCAGGCGTGACAGGGGCTCGTAGATGTGTCAGCTGCGTACCTGGGGAGGGTGCCGGGAGTGTGGGAACACGCGCCTGCGGTGCCTGCTCCTGGGCCGTAAATACCCACCTCCTGTGCCCATTACGCCTGCTCCCTGCCGCAAGAGGGGAGGAACCCTGGGGAAGGATAGGCGTGGGGTGCTCTCCTCTGCAGGGAGCCCTAAGGCCAGACCCAGGGTGAGACCCTGGCCTACGGGCCCCAGCGCCCAGCGCCCCATCCCCCTCTCCTTCCAGTGAAGCCCCTCTGGCAGCAGAGTGGACCTCCTGTCTGTGTCCCTAGCTTTGCCACCAGGAAGTCCTTCCCTTTGGTCTCAGTCCTTCCTGCTGCGTGCTGAGCGCATTTCCGCTTGGCCCTCAGTGGAGAGCAGCTGTGAAGGAACAGCCTGGCGCTCAGCCAGCCAGGTGGGGCTGCTTGTTCTGCCTTCGCCCCGACAGCCAAGGGGACAGAGGGGGCGGGTATCTGGGAGTTCACGTGTCCTGTCCCTGCTTTTCGAGGCATGTGTGACCGCATTGGAGAGCCCCACGGGGACCTGGAGGTGTGTAATTGCCACTTTCCCATCAGGAAACAGGCTCACCTGGCCACGCGCACCAGGAGGTAGCAGGGGACGTTGCCCTGCCTGGTTACCCTGCCCCTGCCACCCATCCGCTCCACCCATAGCTGGGGTTTCTGCAGGTGGCTTCAGGGTGCTGCCCCAGGGTCTGTTTCCTCACTGACGCCATGCCACGGTGAGCCCGGTGAGCTCTGGAACCACCCAGAACAAACAGCCACCTCCTGTTTGGGGCGGTCAGCCTGTGGCACCAGCGGCTCAGGGTGGGGCGGCTCCTTCTCCTTCTGGGCCCGATCCACGGCCCGCAGGCAGGTGGGGCGGGGGCTGCAGCTCTCTAGCAGGCAGAAGCACTGGGGGGCAGGTCATGGACTTGTGGAGGGTCTGGGAGGTGTCATGAGTTGGGGTTCTGCCGATGCCCCACCTCAGTCCCCCCAGCTCTAGAGGCAGCTCAGGGCAGGTTGGCTGACATGCCCTTGCCGGTGGCTCCCCGACTGTGGCAGGGCTCCCAAGACTCGCCCAGCACTGGGGGTCACCCCAGTGGGTCACCCGCGGAGGCCCCCACCCAGAAGCTCCAGAGGCGGTGCTCTGCCTTCCTGGGCCAGAGCAGAGGGAGGGCTGAAGCTGGGCTGGCCTGACCTCCCCTCCCACGCCGGGCTGGGTCAGCAGGAAGCTGCCTGGGGACAGAGGCCTTCTGTTCCTGGCCTGAGAGCCTGCGCCCAGACCCCTGCTGCGCCTTCCTGCCGGCCAGAGTGCCCGGGAGGGGCCCTGGAGGGACTGCCAACCCACCTACGGGACAGGGCAGCCCAGGGCCCAACACTTTCCTTCCAGAGGCCCAGCATGGAAGGTGGGGCCCTGGTCCTCCCCTTCTCTGGCCCCCCCTCCACTCCCCAGATGTCTGGTTGTGTCTGTCTTGGTGTCTCTGTGGCTTTGCTGTCCCCGACTCCCTCTCTCCTGTCTCCTCTGGACCTTTTGGTACCTGTTTCTCTCATGTCTCCCTCATCCCTTCTGTGTCTCTGCCATCTGTCTGTCTCTTCTTGTCTCCCCTCCTGGTGGGATTCACTCCAGAGGAGCTGCAGGGGCCTGAGAAAGGCTTGGCCGGGTGCTCTCCCTTCCCAGCCTGGCGCCCACCCGCGTGGCTGCACTTTGTTCCAGGAAATAAACAGCGTGAGGTCAGCCACCCAGGAATTTGGAAGGGGGTGCACAAGCCTGGAGCCCCCAGGGGCGCGGGGGCAGGCGGCAGCTTGGCTCCAAGAGCTGAGGCCAACAGTCTGGGGGCTCAGCAGGGCCTGGTGGGGGCAGGCGGTGGCCTGGCCAGGGCTGGGCGCACGCTGGCCGACAGCTGACCAGTGAACGACTGCGTGACCCACACTCGACGAATTCATTCATTCAGCCAAAGTTGAAAGAATAAGTTAAAGCCACAAAAATCCCACTCAGCAAGCACTGAATTATTTCATCCACAAGCATTTATAGAACACCAGCTGTGTATGTGGCCCCACGGTAGGTGCCTTGGAGTTGTACCAGAATGTACCCGATTTTAATTGTGAAAATTCAAATTAAAACATGGTCCAACTCTGCAGGGTGCCTGGCCTGGCCCACTCGGAGGGCAGGTTCTCAGGCAGCGGTGGCCTCCCCTGTCTGCTCACCGCCGAGCAAGGGTGACGGTGATGCATTTCTGCCCAGCAAAGCCTTATACTCGAGCTGCCCACCTCCCTGGGGTCAGCCAGAGCCAGGGGTGTCAGTAACAGAGAACCCCAGAGACCAGGCAGCCTAACCAATGACTCCCCTCACCGCTGGGGAGGCTGGAAGGCCCAGACCCCGGTGTCAGCAGGACAGGGCTGTGTGGGAGACCATCTTTCCTGGTGTCTTCACACCCTCCTACCTGTCTGTGTGTTCCTGTGTCACTGGATTAGGGCCACCTTAAAGACCCTGTTTAAACTCCATCACCCTGTGAAGACCCTGTCTCAGATGAGGTCTCGTGCAGAATCCTAGAGGACAGGGCTCCAACATGTCATTTTTGGGGGGCACAGTTCAGCCTGTAGCACTGGGGTCCCCTGCTGGTGGAAAGCTGGCCCTGGCAGGCTTCCTGGAGGGGTGGGTGGCGTCTCCACTGGTGCTCTCACGTTCGCAAGGTGGCTCTGACTGGTATAGCCACAGAGCTCAGCTCAGGGACGCAGCTCCACTGTGTGCCGCTGCGGGGTCTTGGGCTCAGGGCCTGCCCAGAGCATCAGGCAGAGCTGGGACAGTGTGTCCGCAGCAGGGAATGCGGGGCCTGGGGGAGGTGGTAGGGCTGTGGGGCTGTGGGACTGGCAGGGGTGGTCCAGCCCAGTTGCAGAGGCCTCGAAGGCCCAGGGCAGCAGCTTGGACTTGGTGCTGAGGGCTGGTGGTGCTTGAACTTGCGGCCCGGACCTACACAACATGCCCTGTGCTGCGGGTGCTGGCACTGCTGTTTGGGGGGCACCTGGAAGGCTCTGGGGTGCCCTCCTCTGCCTGGAGCTCGCTCACTCAGGGTCTGGGGACAAGATGGCCCTACAGGGGCAACTGGCCGCTCTCAAGTCCAGAGGAGGGAGCGGCCACAGCCCCCAGGTGGGTGAGGCCAGGGCAGGAGGCAGACGGCCTCCCCCTTCCACTTTGTTTGGAGACAAAGCAGGACTTGTTACCCTGCCCTCCCGATGGCTGGGGCGTCTTTGCCAGGACGCGGCCCTTTCAGTCAGTGGCCCTGGGGAAGGTTTGGAGAAGAGGCCGGGCTCACAAAGGCTGGGGAGCGGGGAGAGGGCTCTGTGCCTCCGAGGCGAGGAGAGTTCGGGCATTGGCCAGAGGTGGCCACCCACGTGCTCTTGGGCACTCCTGGGGTCTCGCTGCATCTAGGGACAAACCTAGGCGGACACAGGCTTCTGCCCAGGCCTGAGGGGGCCGATATTCGCCTTTCCTGCTCCCTGAACTTGGGCTGGGGTCTCCTTCTTATCATCTCTCCACCGGGGACAAATCTGCACACCTTCTTGCCGTGTGCACAGAGCTCTCTCTGCGCCATTGGGGTGGTCTTGGCATCTGGAATGCGTTAGCTGGGAGGTGGTCCATGCCGGAAATCTTGGGGGCGTCCTGAGGAGCTGGGCAGATCGATGGCTGGCAGGGCTGGAGGCGGACAGGGAGGCCTCTTGAGGAGGGACAGGATGAACTGCAGCCCCATCCCCCTGCCCCATTCCACTGCGGGGCCTCGGACAGGCGCTGCCCCTGGCCTCACTTTGCACATCCGTAAAATAGGATCCCAGTCCAGACCTCTGCCTGACTCCCTTTCCTGTGCCAGGGGGCTTCCAGAACAGTCCAGTTCGTGCTGCCATTGCAACAGCTGCTGTCTGGGACCCCACAGACAGCAGCGTGGACAGATCATTTGTTTTCTTTTTGAGACGGGATCTCATTGTACTTCCTGGGCCAGTCTTGAACTCCTGGGCTCAAGCGATCCTCCCACCTCAGCCTCCCGAGCAGCTGGGACCAAGGTGTCAGCCACTGCGCCGGCTTCCAGGTCACTGTTCAACCAACCCTCCCAGGAGCAGCAGCCCGTGCTTGGAGCCTGGTGGTCTTTGTCGATGTCTGGGACTGGGCTGGGGCTGCCTGTGTGTCACCCAGGTGTGTTTGCCACTCAAAGCGGCCTTTGCGGGGTGCAGTGGACCGCAGTGTGCCCATGCCAGGTATGGGCATGGAGTCCGGCCACAGCTTGGAGTGTGTAGGGCTGTGCTCTTGGCCTCTCCAGGATGGCCCTGCTGTCCGGGCTGGCCTGGGACCCCTGCGTCCCTGTGATCTAGCGTGTGCACGTGGGGGGCTGAGCATGCGGCGGGTGCTTAGTGACGCCACTCCACGGAGGAAAGAAAGAGCCGTGGGACCTCAAATGCCGGGACTCCAGACCCAGGGCCCAGCTCTGACCGCTGTTTCCCTGCTGTGTAGCTTCCAGCAAGTCGGTGCCTCAGTTTCCCCATCTGTGAGATGTGGACACGATGGGTGCCTGCCCTGCAGGTTGGGTGTGAGCCTTAAGGGAGTTGGTGTTTGTGAAGAGCTGAGAGTGGCACCCTCACGGGAGCGAGGGTCTACATGAATGATGGGTCAGACAGGCGGGTGCAGGGGCCCGTCCTGCTCCCCGGGGCAGCATGGCCGGCCTCAGGCTGTCCTTCACTCCCTGTGTGTTGGTGCCACCCCGGCCTGGGAGCCTCTCACGTCCACCCGTGTTGTCCTCTGGGTGCTATAGGGCCCAGCTGTGGGCTGTTGGACGTCCAGGCATCTGGAGGGGACGGTGGCCTTCTGGTGCAGGTAGCATTGTTGTGACCGGGGCGAGAGCTGGCCTGCTCTCCGCGTATTCCCGGTGGGGCCTCATTCCTTCATAGCCCCCCATGGCCTCTGTTTCCCTAGTTGGGCAAGGTGACCTCTGAGGTCAGCCCCTCCTCTCTTGGAAGAACTACTTTGGACGTTGGTGTTTCTGTCTTCCAGAGACTTCGATGCTCTCAGGAAAGAAAACATTTATGAAAACAACAAGCTGGTAAGTCCCCCCACGTCCTGCCTTCCAGCTCCGGCCTCAGAGCTGGCTCGGTGGCCTGCCCTGCCCCCACCTGTGTCTGCGGGGCCCTGGGGAGTGGGGAGTCCTGCCCCTGAGGCTGGGGCTCTCTGCCTGGTGTTCTAGAAAGAGCTCTGGTCCTGCAGCCCAGGCCTCCCCACCCAGTACCCCTTCCTCACTGGGGAGGGCAGGGACCTGGGAATGTCCTGGGGGGGCCAGCTGCCGACCTCACCCAAGGTACCTGGCCCCACCTGCATGAGCCCCTTCCCCATGCCTAGCCTCAGTTTCCCTGCTGCACAGTGAGCTCCATCTCCCTTGTGGGCTGATGCATAGGCCAGATCATCGCTGCTTGGTGCGTGGGCAATTTAAATTTAACTTAATTAAAATGAAATTAAATTAACAATTCAGTTCCTCGCGCATGCTGGCCACATTTCAAACACTCACAGCCACACGTGGCCAGTGGCCGCCGTGATGGATGGTGCAGCATGGAACGCATCCTTCTCAGAAAGTTCTGGGCTGTGCTGAAACGATGTAGCATTTTTGTTGGGCGGGAATGAGTGATATGGAGACGAATGGAGAAAGAAGGCGGCGGGGTGTGGGGGCAACCGTGTGCAGTTTCCGGGGGACTCAGGTAGGCATCCCAGGGCACAGCCCTGACGGAGGTGAGGGAGCCCTGTGGACACCCGGGGAACGTGGCTGGGGGCTGCGGCTCAAAGGCCCTGAGGCTGGAGCGAGAGTACCAGCTTGTAGGGGAATAACCCGGGGCTTGGGGGCAGGAGGAGGACATGGGCAGGCGTGGCAGTGCCTGAGGGGCTCTGGCTTCCATCGAGTGGGACTGGACCCTTGGAGGCGTCGGCTGGGAGCTGCGCTGCCTCACGGGATCTGTGCAGGGAGAGGGCTGGGTGACAGGGTGACAGGGGCGGTGGGGCAGAGGGGGCAGTGCCCGGCCCACCGTGGTGGCTGTGGAAGGGGCCAGGTTCTGGATGTGTTTGAAGAGGGGTCAGAGGCAGTACCCGGCCTTGGGGGGCAGGACTCACTTGGGCTGTGGGTCTGGGACGGGCCCAGGAGCCCCATCTTGGACACCCTCACACATACCCGTGGGGTGCTGCAGGCAGTGGAGACGCAAGCCTGGCGTTTAAGGAAAGGACAGACGTGGGGGTCATCAGGCCATACATGGGGTGTTTAAAGGCAAGAGACTGACCGGACTTGCCCAGGGCAGGACAGGGAAGAGGACAGACGGAGCTGGGACTGCAAGTTCATCAGGGACGGGGAAGGGGTGGCACAGCAGACTGGTCCCTGGGCTCAGGCTGGCATGAAGCTGGGAGATACAGGGGGTTGAAGCAGCAAATATACGTATATATGCGCCATGTTTGGAGGAGTTTTGCTGTAGGAGGAGCTGGAACGAGGGGCTGTGGTCAGCAGAAGTGGAGGCCACAGGCAATTTCTTTTCCATAGGGAAGTGTCGGCACTTCTGGAAGGCGGGTGGAGTGGCCCAGAGGGGACTCAGGCAGAAGAGAGAGCAGGGTCGCCGGGGATGGAGGAAAGGGGCTTCCTGCCAGTGTGGCCACGGGAGGGAGGTCTGGGCTGGGGGCCTGGGGTGAGGTGGCCCCGGGCAGCACTCAGGCCCCTGAAGGTCTCTGCCCTGGATGAAGTGAGGCCAGCGGGCCCCGTGGAACTTCTGTGCCATGCTTGGGGGCTGGGCGCCAGCCCTAGTGGGAGGGATCCGTCTGCCACCCCCACCGGGATCTTTCTAAGTGGGTACAGCAGTCGGAGGGGGGTGTGCGTCGGGGGACATGGGATGGGCCCAGGAAGAAGGGAGGCCGGGTGAGGGGCAGGACAATGTGGGTCTGTGGTTAGAGCCCCGCGGGGTCAGTGGACTGAGGGCTGCGTGCCAGCGGAGGGAGTGGTTGGCAGGCGGAGCTGGAGGGGGGCGCGAGGCTGAGATCCGCCATCCGGCATGCAGTGGGTCCTCTGTGAGTGCAGCTTTCCTGGCCCTCCCCAGCTGCCAAGGCGCCTACCCCCGGCGCTGTGGCTCCCAGGACACAGGCCACCTCTGTGTTCCTTCTTGGACCCTGGAGGGCTCGGCAGGCTGGCGTGTGTCAGCCGCTGGGAGAGGTGCTCCTAGAGGGATGAATCTGGAGTGTGCGCTCGGGTTTGGGGGAGCCCAAGGCACCTCCAGAATGAGGTGGCCCAGGGGGGCAGGGCAGGGCCTCTGGAGCCCCCTGGGACCGGCTCCTGGAGCACCTTCAGCCCTGCATGGTCGGGACTGAGCCCCAATGTACAGATAGGTAAGCTGAGGCTCAGGCAGCCATGCGGGCAGAGTGAAGCATGAGCCCTGAACCCAGTCCTCTCTGGGCCCACAGCCCATGCCTGGGGCCTGCCCGGGGGAAGAGGGGTCTGGCCTAGGAGTAGGGGTCTCCCAGCCTGCCCCTCTGACCCGTACCCCTCCCCCAGGCCTTCCGCGTGGCTGAGGAGAAGCTGGGCATCCCGGCCTTGCTGGAGGCCGAGGACATGGTGGCCCTGAAGGTGCCTGACCGGCTGAGCATCCTGACCTACGTGTCCCAGTATTACAACTACTTCCATGGCCGGTCCCCCAGTGAGTCTGCCATGCCACACCACGTGGCCGCCCTCCCAGCCCCTCAAGCCAGGCACCAGCATTGCCCCTTGTGAAGCAGGGAGGGGGCCTTTCTGGCACCGGGTGGGTGGGGGCCCTAGTGCTCTGTCTTCCTCCGAGGGACCTGGGCCCTCCCCCTGCTTCGAGTGATGTGCGGGGTCCCCGCTCTCTAAGCCCCCAACCCGCCCCCGCCTGGGCAGGCTCCACTGCCCCCACCCTGTCCTCAGGGGAGCACGGCCTGCTCCCACCCTAGGCCTTGCCTCGCCCTGATTCAGGCCCTTGTGGACACTGGGCTGGCTGGGCAGGACGGATGTGGTCTTCATCCCGCGCTTTGTGCGCAGCTGCCTGGCTCCTCCCCACCCCACAGCCCTCTTCTGGCTTCAGAAATCCCCAGAATCACGCCGGGCGCACGGCCAGCCCCGCCTGGTGGACAGAGAAGTCCCTTTTCCCTGACCCCGTGAGGGCGCCAGAGTGGGGCGGGCAGGGTGTGGGCCAGACCAGCTGTGCTGGGAAGATCGTGCCCTCGGGCTGCTCTCCCCAGCCGGCACCCCCAGAGGCAGGAGCCTCTGGAGTCCACACCAGCCCCGGGCTGGGCCCCAGGACCTCTGGGAGCCCCAGACCCCTTCAGAGCCAGGGTGCAGGGCTGGGCTGGGCTCCTCCGACACCTGCTTGTCTCGTGCCAGTCGGGGGCATGGCCGGCGTGAAGAGACTCTCGTCGAACTTCGAGGAGGAGCCGTCTGGGAAGAAGGCCCCGGCCCAGCCGCCCTCACCCGCCCCAGCCAGGACAGACCCCGTTGTCCAGAGGAGGGGTGGGGCCACGGAGGAACCAGTCCCAACAGCCGTGAGTGCCATCCCTGCCACCCTCTGCTTTCTTGGGATGTCCACCAGCTCGCACTGTGTGGGCTTGGGGGGCAGGTGTAGCCCCTAAACCACGGGGCTGAAGTGGGCCCAGGCCCAGGCACGGCCTCAGCAGCTGTGTCTGGAGCTGCCCAGGACTGGTGACCCTGGACTCCATCCCCACTGTACAGATGGGTAAGCTGAGGCCAAGGCAGGTCACGCAGGTGGGGCAGAGCTTGAACTCAGACGGACTGAGCACCTCCCTCCCGGGGCCCGGGGGGTGTTGGGCTGGACCCCGGACCAGGCTGGCACCCCCACTTCCCAGAAGTGGGGCCGGTGGGAGGAGGACCTGTGACTGGGCACCCCTGCTGCCGTGGGCTGGCACTGCAGCCTTTCAGGAGCTGGAGTCAAACAGCGCCGAGAAGGTGGGAACTGGACAGCTCTGTCCCCAGGGCCACTGACTCAGGCCCCAACTCGCTCCCCAGGCCCAGGCTGCAGGCCCTGAACTTGGGGTCCAGCCTGGGTATGGGCCCTGATGGGTGCCCTGCTAGCTGCTCCTCTCTGGCCTCAGTTCTCCCATCTGTAAAATGGGACCATCTGGCCCGCCTATGGGGCAGCTGTCAGGAGGGAGGGCCAGGTTGGACCACAGCCCAGAGAGGTCAACTGGCATCTCCCCCAAGGCCCTAGCGTCAGTGGGCAGCTCGGTCAGCAGCACCTGCGGGGTCTGCGGCAAGCACGTGCACCTGGTGCAGCGGCACCTGGCTGACGGGAAGCTCTACCACCGGAGCTGCTTTAGGTAAGGCCCCTCCCCATGCGCCTGTGTGCACCTGCCCTGATCAGACACCTCCTGAGGCTCCCATTGTGTCCCCCTGGCCATGTCCTGGGCTGGGCTGTTGCCGACAGCCCAGGATACTGAGCAGGTTCCTGGACACCCCAGGGCCAGACGCCCTCCTGGCTGGCCTTCCAGACACACTGACTCGGTCTCCTTCCTCTGCCTCAGCCATTTGTGCTAGGGCTTCTCCCTCTGTGACCATCTGCAGCCCCCACCCCCTCCGCCTCCCACTGTGGGTTCCCAGAGGACGAGCACAGGGCCTGCCTTGCTATGTCCACGACACTGCAGGCTGGGGCGGGCCAGCCCCACAGTGGGGCTCAGGGTGGCCTGTGTGTGTGCGTGTGTGTGTGCACATGCGTGCATCTGCTGACATGCACGAGCGCTTTCTGAGGTGTCCCCTCTACAATAAGCCTCCTGCGTGTGACTCAAAATGGTTAAGGACTGTGAGAAGAGGCATTTGTTGAATGACTCAGTGACCCCACAAACAACTGAATGCCAGCCTGGTGCTCCCTGGTGACTTTCTCCCCCAGGTGTAAGCAGTGCTCCAACACGCTGCACTCAGGAGCCTACAGGGCCACGGGGGAGCCGGGGGTCTTCGTCTGCACCAGCCACCACCCCACAGCTGCCTCTGCAAGCCCCAAGTTGCCGGGTCTGGCCCCCAGACAGCCTGGGGCCGGCCCCATGGACTCCAGGCCTGCCGGACCCCTGAGGAAGGCCCATGAGGCAAACGGGCCCCAGGCCAGGCTGCCCGCCCGAGAGCCTGCCACAGGCAACTCAACTGCCAGAGGTTTTGTTCCGGCTGCACGTGACACTCCGGCCACCACCTCCGCCAATGTCCACGTGGGGAGCCCAGCCAGGCCCCTCTTCGAGAGCCGAGGGACTTCCACCCCTGTAGGGGACACATCCCGCACACGTGTGACCAACAGCTCCCAGGCAGGGTCATCATTGCCTGCCCAGGGCACAGCGGTGCCCCGCTCCCATCCTGCTGTGCCCACAGGTGCCCTGGACCCTGGCCTGCCCACGCCACCAGGCCTGGGGGCCCCCCACGTGGCTCCCCAGACCAAGCACAGTTCCAGTTCAACGTCTCCAGGCCCAACAGACCCCCTGGCCTGGACCCCATCTGCCTCCAAGACCCAGCAGGCCCGGGAGAAGTTCTTCCAGACACCGGGGGCGTCTGCCGGCAGTGGCACTGCTGGCAGGGCCCCAGGCCCAGCGGGAGCTCCTGCAGGGGACAGCAGCAAGGAGCAGGCGCTGAGCTTCCTTAGGAAGACCCTCCCAGCAATTGGGGCAACCGGCACTCAGGCACCTGGCAGGTGGGTGCAGGGGGCTTGGGGCAGCTGGGGGGGTCTGGCTGTGTAACCGTGGTGGGGATGGCACTTCCCCCAGCCTCAGTTTCCACACCTGGGAGTGAGGTACAGTGGTGCCTGGCAGTCAGGGTGGCAGGAGACTGGTTATTACAGAAGAGCTGTCTGCACGGCTCAGGGTGTCATGGGTACGGTGACACTGCCACCCTGGGGCCCGTGGTGCCACACGCACTCACTGGCCTCGGAGGACCCTGTATCCGTTTTTGCAGACGAGGAACAGGTTGTGAGTGGGTCGCCATGTGGGCTGGGTGGGGGCTGCCCCGAGCTGGGCTCTGAGCCCTCCCTGCCTCGCCCCCACACCTGTCCGGTGCCTTGCGCGTGCCGGGTGCAAACAGGTGCACTGGCGGGCAGGGGAGAGGGCAGGGCGCGTCTCCACGGCAGCACTCTCGGGGCACCTCACGTAGCAGAAATTGCCTGCTGGAGGCTGCAAGTCTGGCGTCAAGATGTGGACAGGGCCACGCTCACCCTGAGGGCTCTAGGGGAGGGTCCTTCCCTGTCTCTTCCAGGTCCCGGCGGCCCCAGGTGTTCCCGGCTGTGGCCGGACCACTCCGATCTCTGCCTCTGGCGTCATGTGGCCTCTCTGTTTGTCTCTTCTCCTATGTCTTGTGAGGACACCTGAACTGGGATTGGGTCCACCCTCCCGCGGTGTGGGCACGTCTTAGCGCTAATTCCAAACAAGGTCACACTCTGGGCTTCCTGGTGGATGTGAACTTTAGGGGGACACCCGCCAAGCACGGTCACCTCGCAAGTGAGGAGGATGCATCATGTCTCCCCTCACTGCAGTGGGCGCATCCCCTCTCAGAGCTGCCTGTCCCCCACCGGCTCCAGGTGTCACAGGGAGCGGGGAGTGCAAGTACCCTCTGTCCCCTGGGACTGGCGGTGCCCAGGGTATCCTGGGGATGAGGATGTGGGGTGCTCTGGGAGTGCTCCCTGGGGGTGAAGATGTGGGATACTCTGGGAGTGCTCCCTGGAGGTGAGGATGTGGGGTGCTCTGGGGAATGCTCCCTGGGGGGGCTGAGGATGTGGGGTGCTTTGGGGAGTGCTCCCTGGGGGGGCTGAGGATGTGGGGTGCTTTGGGGAGTGCTCCCTGGGGGGTGTATCTGGCTGAGACGGGCCTGGCTCTTCCTGGGAACACAGCCCAGTCACCCCAGAACCCAGAATAGCGGGAAGAAAGGGGGAAGTGAGTTGTACGGGGTGCAGGGGACGGAGGGGAGGTGCCTGCTCCCACCTAGGCGCCTCAGGCCCTGCCTGTGTGCTGTGCCTGAGGGGCGCAGGCCGGCCCAGGGTTCTGGGGAAGTCCCTGGTGCTTCCGGCCCTGGGCATGCTGTGTCTGGGGTACTTTAATCTCAGCCCGCGCCAGAGTTAACAGCAGGGTGAAATCAGTCACCAGCGTGTGCTGGTGCCAAAGGGAGATGCCCGTGGCCCATCCCTCTCGGGGCGGTACCCCTCCTGTGGGAACTGGCTGCAGGGGAGGCTGTGGGGCTTCTGCCGGGGGGGTGATGGCCAGAGGGCTGCTGGACCCACCCGTGCCTGACGCCTGCTTTCTTACCCCCAGGCCCTCCCCAGCCGCCTCCCCGGCTCCCACTGCTCATGCCACAACCCAAGGGCCACAGGCACATTCCTCAGCTGGGCCGTCACAGTCCACGTCTCTCCGGGCCCTCAACCCCCCGACAAGGATGGAGCGACCGGCACCCCCGAGCGTGGGCAGTGCCTCGCAGGCATCCGCGTCGCCCCAGGTGGGCAGGAGGAGCTCAGCTGTGTCCTCGTGGGTCAGCAGGGTGGGCGCTGACTCCAGGCTGAAGCCACAGGCCCCGACGGCAGAGGGTAAGAGCCCCCTTGACGTGGTGCGGGTGAGAGGCCTGCGTGCTGGAGGCTGCAGGGTCTGCAGCTCCAGGACCCTCTGCCAGGGCCCTGCTCGGTGGCATTTGCTGACTCGCAGCTGCCCTGACTGTCCTCTGTGCCGTGTGCTCACAGCCTCCTGGGTCCTGGTGCTCTGCCCTGCGTGGGGGCAGCAGGTGTCCCCAGGGCCATACTATTTGATGGCTCCCGTGGCCTCCTACTCCCTGTCTATGCTCCTCCTGCTCTCGGTCTGCCCAGTGGTGACACTTGTCAGCTCACAGCGGCCGGGCTTTGCCCTGGTCTCTGGCGTCTCCAGTTCTCCCATGGGGTTTTGCGTTGTTGTGTGACGATGTTGTGCTGCTGTGACAGAAGCAGTCTGTGCTCTGAGGGTGCTGCTGACCCTGTCATCTGGGCCCTCCCGGAGGCTTCCTGAACCCTAGGTCCTGTTTTACAGCCTCTCACTTTTTTTTTTTTTGAGACAGAGTCTCACTGTGTTGCCCGGGCTAGAGTGAGTGCCGTGGCGTCAGCCTAGCTCACAGCAACCTCAAACTCCTGGGCTCAAGCGATCCTCCTGCCTCAGCCTCCCAAGTAGCTGGGACTACAGGCATGCGCCACCATGCCTGGCTAATTTTTTCTATATATTTTTAGTTGTCCAATTAATTTCTTTCTATTTTTAGTAGAGACGGGGTCTCGCTCTTGCTCAGGCTGTTTTTGAACTCCTGAGCTCAAACAATCCACCCGCCTCGGCCTCCCAGAGAGCTAGGATTACAGGCGTGAGCCACCGCGCCCGGCCACGGCCTCTCACTTTTCTGCAAACTGCGGAGTTGGAGTTTTCTAGGCACCTGGGGCAATCTTAAGTAACCCGTGGCGTTATCAAACCGGGTTCAGAGAACAAGCTGAGCTGCAAAGCATTTTTCCAGCTCGTTCCCTCTGGCTGAGCCCCCGCCTTTAAAGCCACTCTCAGGTTGGAGCCAAGAAAGCCCACAGATGGGCAGCAGTGGCGCGGGTGTTCACCTTGCACAGGTGGACGGAGAATCAGGGCCCAGAGGGTTCACCCTGTCACGTCGCCACCCACTGGGCAGAAGGGGCAGTTGAAGCCCAGAGACAGGGAGCAATCTCCTCAGGGACACACAGCACAGGCAGTCAGGCTGGAAATCCCATCTCCTGCCTCCCAGCCCGGGGTTCCTTCCTGTGTGCCTGCTGGCCGTGGGGGTATCTAAGGGCCGTGCAGTGCAGGGAGGTGGCACAGGGTGAGGCCTGACCGTTCCTGGCAGACACCCGCCTTTTAGCACTCCATCCTTATGATCTGTCCTCTGTCCCCTTGCTTTTGCCCAGGCCCGAGTGCCAGCCCCCAGAAAGGCCAAGAGGACGGGCCGGCAGGATGGAGGGCCCGCCTGAAGCCCGTGGATAAGAAAAGCCCTGCTGAGAGGTGAGGAGCTGAGGGGGCTTGGTGGGGCGGCCTCACTCCGACCACACCTGTCCTGTGGGTGCACCCAGACCCTGAGCTGCATCTCAGGGCAGGCACAGGGCCTGGCACACAGTAGGTGCTTAACACGTGCTTAGGTGCGCAACAGCACACATGCCAACCCACGGACACACCCGTCCAGGGATGCGTGCACATTCTTGCACATTTAAGTCACACGTGGCACCTGCCTGAGCGATGTGAGCGACCACTCTCAACAGCCCGAGGTGTAGCAGGTGTGGCCGGTTCACACACACGCCCAGAGCTGGGCGGGGTGTCTGCCCTGGGCACGTGCTCACACCCGTGGAGGTGGGCTCACAGGACGGCGTCTGGGGTGAGCACACCTGTGCGCTATGGGAGGGTCCAAACAGGTGCAGGTGGCCAGGTCCACCGCGTCCTGGTGTGGTCTGAGCACACTTTAGGATCCCCGGGTGGTCCTAGGCCTGGGGCTGGGGTCCGGGGCTGACCTCGCGCCTTCTGCCCAGGACTCTGGAGCTCAAGGAGCCACCGGCCCTGGCAGAGCCGAGGGTCGGGGAGGCTCTCAGGAAGGTCTCCGGCAACTTCTCAGGGGGCGTCCACATCACCCCGACCCCTGTGGGGCCTGACAGGACACCGCGCCCAACCAGCCCCAGGCCCAACCTCTCAGGTACTGCCGGACAGAGCCCAGGAACTCCAGCTCTGGGGGTAGGGGTCCCAGGGTGGGGTCCAGGTGTTGGGGGAGGGGCAGTGGCTCTGCTTAGCCACAGGAGTCAGTAGTCTTGGGTGGGCATGTACATGCATGTGTGTATGCATGTGTGTTCATGCATGTAACGTGCACGTGCACATGTGTGTGCATGTTTGTTCCCAACACTTATATTCACCGCTGGATCCATATCTGGCTCTCATGCCACTTCCTAGGTGACCTTGAGCGTCACCAACGCACTAGAACAGTCTCCCTGATGCCAGCAGGCATCATCAGGGTTCTGCCCTCCCTGGGTGGGTGTGGTCAGTCTGGGCAGGATGGGGGTGATGGCTATTTGGGGACAGACCCCAGGCTCCCGTGGGCCCTGGCTCACAGGAGGGTTCTGGGCCTGCCGGCCTGACACACGGCTCTGTCTCCACACCTGGGGGCAGCTGCATCCCCCTCCCCATCCCGCCGCAGGAAACTGGCTGTCCCTGCCAGCCTGGACGTTTCTGATGACTGGCTTCGGTCTGAGCCCTTGGGGCGGGGGGACCTGGCCCAGAGCTGGAAGAAGGAGAAGCCCCATCCTCAGGGCAAACCAGGTCAGCCCCAGAGATGCCTTTTCTGTTAGGGACATGGAGGGAGGCTTCCTTTGAGGAGGAGATGCCTGCTGGGGCTTTGGAGGATGTATAGGAGCTCGTTGGGCCTTGAATAGAGGGAGGTCCCATTCCCTGTGCCCAGGCCCTCCCTCATGAAGAGACCACAGTGGCTTCATAGCACCTCGTCCCGACACCTGGTGAGGGTGGAGTGTCCCCTCCTGGCACTGGATGGACTGGTTGGCTGGCACGCCTCAGAGGGTGTGTCCGTGTGAGCTCTTGCTCTGTGGCATGCTGGGGCTACCCAGGTGCCTGCGGGCAGGGGCAAGGCAGCCAGGTGGGGGTGCAAGGGACATGGGGGAGGCAGGGGCCATGTCTGGACCACACTGAGTCTGACGCCTGAGGCCCAGACGCTCACCCTGCCCTTCTACAGGGAGGCCCTTGGGCTCGGCCAGTGTCCCTGCTCTGCCTGGCAAGACAGTGACCTCCCCGGTTAGGGTGAGTAGGCGTGTGTGGGGGGAGGGGGCAAGACCACAGCCCTTGGGGTCCCTCTCACCACCCTTTGTCCCCCAGCTGCACCCCGACTACGTGCTCCAGGAGGAGATTCAGAGGCAGGTGCAGAGCATCGAGCAGCAGCTGGACGCCCTGGAGCTCCGGGGCGTGGAGCTGGAGAAGCGTCTGCGGGCGGCCGAGGGAGGTGAGCCCAGGCTAGCCCGGTCCCCCACTGGCTGCGGGCTGGCCCCAAGCTCCCCGGGCCAGGCCAGCTCCCACCTGAGTGCCTTGGCCTGGTTGTCAAGGCTTGACCCTGGGCCCTAGCGCAGGCCTGACACCCTGGGGGCTCACCCTGCCCCCAGCCAGCTCCAGTTGGCTTCTCCCCCTAGATGACTCGGAGGACGGCCTCATGGTGGAGTGGTTCCAGCTCATCCACGAGAAGCAGCTGCTGCTGCGGCAGGAGTCGGAGCTGATGTACAAGTGAGCGGCTGTCGCCGAGCTGCCCGCGGGGCCTCCTGGAAGGCCAGACCCCCAGTGGGGCCAGGCCCAGGCGGGGAGGCCAGCCCAGCCAGGCCAGGCCTCAGACTGTGTCTGCCACGGCAGGTCCAAGGACCAGCACCTGGAGGAGCAGCAGCTGGGCCTGGAGGGGCAGCTGCGCCGGCTGATGGCCAAACCCGGTGCGTCCCCCTACCGCCTGGGAGGGGTGGCATGGGGGACTGCTTGCTGTCCTGGCCAATGGTGTCCTGGTGATGGGGCCTGCTCTGGAGCCAGACAGACCTGGGGTCAAGTTCCAGCTGTTCCACTTCCTGGCTGTGTGTCCTCAGCCTAGTCACTTAACCTCTCTGTGCCTGGACATCATCCTCTCTAAAGTGAGAACAATCATAGCTCCCACCTCACATAGCTGTCCTGAGGATTAAATGTGTCACTATGCGTCAGGCGCTTAGCACAGCGCCAGGCAGGTAGAAGCTCGGTAAGCGTGAGCTGTTGGCATTTTGTGTTGGCGATCAGTGCCCAGCGCCCCAGCTTGTGGGCTCAGGTCCCAGCAATGCCGCCTCTGCCCTTGCCGTGCTGCGGGGCTGGGACGCGGCACCCTGGGCCTCCGTTCCCGCAGCTCTGCCATGGGCAGCGTGTGCGTGGGGTGATCGGGGAGGGTCAGGCCAGCTGACGCCCGGGTGCCCGAGACCTGCCTTGCCCCTCCAGTGGAGGAGCCTGGCACATGGGCAGCAGGACGTTTTGTCCGGGAACAGGGTGGGGCCAGGCCCCGCTGACGGCAGGCTGTCCCCACAGAGGTTCTGAAGTCGCCGCAGGAGCGGCAGCGGGAGCAGGAGCTGCTGGCACAGTACGTGAGCACCGTGGACGACCGCAGCCAGATCGTCGATCTGCTGGACGAGGACCGGCTCAGGTGCGCAAGGCCACCAGGGAGGGCCCAGCGCCGGGCAGGAGCAGGGCCCACCCTGTGCATGTCGCGGGGTGGGGTGGGGACAGGCCCAGGCCAGGCAGCCGGCTTGGGGGCTCTTGGCCGCAGGGCCCCTTCCTGTCTGCTGTTCCCGCCTTTGGGGTCAGCACTGTCCCCTGGAAACTTTCTTGTGATGGAAACATCCTGTTGTCTGTCCTGCCCAGTGTGGCAGCCGCTGGCCACGCATGGCCACTGGGTACTTGGACTGTGGCCCCTGCAACCGAGGAGCCAAGTTGTAAACACATTGACTCCACATTAGAAAAAAAATTTTTCCCTGGGGCCACAGTATTTTATTAAAACAAAACAATCCTTTCTAATTTGTTATTTTTTCTTGTTTTCTGTGCGTGAGTCATATGCAACACAATCCATGTTTTTAGAATTAAATTGTCAATATTAATTGCAACGGTAAGAACAGCAACAAGTAAGATTTTCACGAACCAACTGCAGGGTTTTGCTTCACGAAGCCCCAGGCTCAAAACCAGCCTGAGTTAAATACAACAACTCACATGGCAGTCAGTGTGTTAAAATCTTATTTTTAACTTAAATTGACATGGCCACCTGTGTCTCCAGGCTGCTGTGGTGAGTGGCAGCTGTGTGACTGTCCCCCAAAGAGCTTCCTGTCCCATGTTTCATGAAGGGTCCTGTGTAGGGCCCCCAGGCTTGGCACCTGAGGTCAGCCTCAAATGTGACCTCTGTGAGCTCGAAGGGGCCTTGGCACAGGTCAGCCCAGGCCCTCCCGTCCCCAGGGCCCCAAGTCACTGGCGTGGTCAGCCAGGCCCTCCCGTCCCCAGGGCATTGGTGTGGTCAGCCTGGGGCCTTCCTGTCCCCAGGCTACTGGTGTGGTCAGCCCAGGCCCTCCCATCCCCAGGTCACTGTTGAGGCAGGCCTTGGGGGGGGGGACCTGCCAGGGAGAGGAGGGGGTGCCAGGTGTGGCCTGGCATCAGGTGGGAGGGCAGGTAGAGGGGTGTCGGGTGGGGCACGGAACTCAGGTGAGGTGGGCTGGAGACAGTCCAGGCCCTGCCCGGCACATGCTGCCGCTCAGGACGACTCGTCCGTTCCAGGGAGCAGGAGGAGGACCAGGTGCTGCAGAACATGATCCAGTCGCTGGGTAACTCGGGGCCGGGGGCGTGGAGGAGGGGCAGGCGGGCTCTGTGGCCTGGGACCTCCTGCAGCGGGTGCTGGACCCCAGCAGGCAGCTCACCCTGAGGGCGCAAGCTCCCCATCAGCCCAGGGAGCCAAGGAGTGGCCGATGACCACGTGGTCAGGGTGTGGGGAGCAGGTAGCTGTGGGGAGTGGGTGGCAGGGCCTTGCGTCCGCCCTGAAGGCGGGCATGTGGGGGGGCATGTGGGGGGCGCATCAGCCCCCTGCAGGCTGTGGGGGCCCAGGGAGGACTCCGGCCTGTGGAGGGGAAGGGCGTTCCCGGCAGGGGACCTGCGTGGGCCGTGGGCGCAGCCTCACCATCCATCCCTCCCCGTCAGCCCGCCAGAGGAAAAAGTCCAAGTTCCGCTTGTCCAGGATCTGGTCCCTGAAGAGCAAAGGCGACACCCCTGAGTGAGCCGCCCAGTGGGGGCCGCAGGCTGGCCCAGCCCTGCCACTCACACTCAGGACGGGATCGGTGCTACGGCCTGGAAGGGCACTCAGGACAGCCTGTGCCTGTGCCACCCTCTCGGGGTCCGAGACCCTCAATAAAGAAACTGCCTGCCTGGCCTGCTGGCTCTTGTGTCTGCCTGCGTGCTCCCTGGTGACCCGACACCTGGCCCAGAGGCCTCGCCTGAGCCCCGGCTCTGTACCCAGCATGGATGCGCTCTGTGGCCTTGGGCAGGTGCTGACCCTCTCTGGGCCTGGACAAGGCCCACTGAGGTGGGCACTTTAGCCACTTCCTGGCTACACAGATGGGCCGGACATGAGCCCCAGAGGAGATGGGGGGTTGGATGGTGTCTGTGCAAACTGGGACCTCAGGTGTTGGCCCTGTGAGGGGATTGTGACATCTCAGTGGCCAAAGACCCGTGACCTTGGTCTCTGGGGCTGAGGCTGTCTCAGGCATGGGTGGGCCGTGCCTGGGATGGAGGGATCTGAGCCCTGGGCCTGCGCCAGGGCCGCAGGAGACTGACTGGCTGACTGCTGCTGGAGAGCGGGTGCCGTGGGTGGAGGTCCAGGAGGTCTGGGCCAGGTCCCCGCTGCCTCTCTGAGCTGGGAGAGTGACTTCCCCCACAGGCCTCTGTCTCCATGTCTGTGGGGATGGGCGGGCTTGTGACTGCATCTTGCTGCGCTGTTTTCAGCTGCCCCAGAAGCCTGTCTGCGGTGGTCTTGGTGGACCCTCAGCAGTGGCAAAGCACCAATATGCCCACCTGGGGGCAGGCGGGGTCAGGAGGCCCCTGGTTCCCAGCAGGACCTGCGCAAGGACAGAGCCCAGAGTCCTTGGCTGTGTGCGTGGGCCCACGTGGCTCGCGCCGGCTGGGCACCATGCGTCCCGCTGCCTTCATGGGGCATTGGAGGGTCTCGGCTAGGCTCCTGGGATGGGAGGTGCTGTCAGTGCAGGGTCAGAGCTGCCCAGCAGCTGTGTGGCCTAGGGCTGGGGCATGGCCCTCTCTGAGCCTTTGGTGACAATGGTTGCGTGGGGCTGGGTAAGGCTGGGCGGGGTCCATGGTGGATGTGGACCCACAGTGAGGGTGGGGAGCTCAGGGGCCACCTTCTTGCTCTCTGGCGATGGCAAGGGCCCTGCTGCCTCCCTGGGACATCTGCTCCCTCCAGCTGTTCAGCACCCGGGCGGAGCGAAGGGGCCACAGGGGTGAGGCCACTCCCCATGCACACGGCAGCGATGGGTAGTGGGGTCCCTGCTCTGCCTGGCCTGAGGCTGCTGGGACCGACTGTTGCCGTGGAAACCACCTGCCAAGGACAGGGAGGCGACAGCAGCCAGCGCTGGGATCTCCAATGCCCTGGGGGCTGCGCCAGGGAAGTCTCACCTGGGTGTGGGGGGCTCCCTTGGTGGACGGGAAGGAACACAGGGGTAGGGATCTGGGAGCGAGAAGATGGGTGGGGGTGGGGAGCATCGGCAGCAGGGCTGGGCTGAGGGGCTTGGGCAGGTGCGGCAGGGAGGCCGGGCTTTCCCCGGTGTCGTGGGGTGGGCAGTTCCGAGCAGAGGCCCTGTGGCCTCTTGTGTGTCAGGAGTGTGAATACCTGAGGGGCAGCCTTGCCCTGGGGGTGAGCCTGGGGTCCCTCTGAGTCCCCAGGGCCTGACCCACTGGAGACACCTGTAACTTGGCCTCATCGCCACCAGGGGGCGGCAGAGTGCCACTCAGCATGCAGGGGCCGCCTGAGCGCTGCAGGTGATCTCCACTTTAGTGATGAGGAAACCGAGGCTCAGAGGGTGCTGTGGCCCCCTGAAGTCACACAGCAAGGTAGGTAAGGTCAGGGACTGGGACCTGGGGGTCCACTCTAGGGCTCCTGGGCAGCCGCGGGGGTGCCGGGGTGAGGGGTCCTGGCTGGGCACGTGGTTGGTGCTGGATAGATCGAGCCCCTGAAAGTCATCAGGTCCCGGCAGGAGGCCAGCCCAGTGAGATGTCTGTGCTGTCTGCAGAGCCTGGCACTGTCTGGGCGGGATGGCAGGGACGCATCCTTGGGGCCACGGGCATTGACCAGGCCCTGCGACCTGGAGGCAAGAGGCAGAGCAGGATGGGCTTAGGGGACCTGTGGGGCATCCCCGGGGCCCAGGTGGGTCTGGCTGCCCCGCTGCCTGGCCCTGTAGAGGCTGCCTGGCCCCACCCACCTGGGCGACCCCAGACAGCTGCAAGGCACACAGCCACCCATTGGCCCAGCCGGACGTGAGCCCACATGTGCAGGGAGTTCCCAGGGCCATCCCCTCCTGCCCGTGCTTGCAGGAGGCGCTCGATGCACGTCAGAGGCTTTCTCCAACAAGCAGTACTCACAAATAGATGTGGGGGTGGGGACATTAGGAGAGGGTCTGGTCCCTGAACATGCTGGGCCTCAGCCCTGTGGCCCCCAGGGCCTGAGGGACAAAGGCCAGATTTGGGAATGTCCAGCATGGGCTGAGGCCTGGCCGCCAGGGCCGTTGGGATGCTCCGGGGTGGCGAGTGGACGGACACTGGGCAGACCCGTGTGGCTGCAGCAGGAGGCGTGGGGGCAGGGTCTGCACTGGGAAGCTCAGGATTTGGACTTGAAGCCAGAGGCCTGGGCTCGGGGTCAGCTCTGGCCCTCACAGGGCACTGGTGGTAGGGAGGAAGCCAGGGGACCCCCATCCAATCCTTGGGAAGCCTGTGGCAGGGCTTGGGCTGGCTTCCAGAAGTTCCTCCATGCTCCCCTCCTCCCTCTCGCCCTCCCCTGCACTGTGACCTCTGTGCCACGGGGCCTTTGCACTTGCTGCTCTCTGCCTATCCCTGCGCTCCACGAGCCTCGCTCCTATGTCCTTGCTTAACTCGGCCCTCCTCAGAGAGGCTCCCCAGAGTCCCTCCTCTCTGCCTCTCACCCTCGTTTATTTTCAGCTGTCCAAAGTCACCTTCTATATTGAGATGTTTGTTGTGTCTTCCTCTCTCCCTAGATGGAGGCGCCCGTGGCGCAGCTCATCTGTCCTCCCAGGGCTGTGTCCTCAGTGCCTGGAACAGTGCCTGGCACGTGGCAGGAGCCTAACAAATACTTGTTGAGTGAGTGAGTGAGTGACTGAGTGAGTGAATGAATGACACGTGGGCTCAGCCGGCCTGGGCCGCATTCCTCTCACCTGTCAGGGGGCCAGCGATGTTGCCTGTGTCCATGGCCCATGGAGACAGACCCTGCCTGAGCCCAGCCAGTCTCACACTTGGGGGACCCGGGGAGCTGCCCCTGCCCTGCCCAGGGCCGAGGATTGAGTTAGGTCACTTGGGTGGTCAAACACTCAACGAGTGGGCACAGCTTGGGGACCTCTTCCCCCCGGGCCTGAGCTGAGCAGGGGAGAGATGAGGGAGGCCTTGGGCAGAGGGCTCAGGTCTCAGGGAATTTTCTGGGGCATCTCAGAGCTGGGGGCTTTCCCCGGGGGCCCAGAGAGGGAGCTCAGCCCCGAGTGGCAAGGATGCTGGCCGGGCCCAGGGACTGACCTGAGTGTGCGTGACAATGGGCTCACGGTGACCGCCATCCGAAGCTACCCTGCAGGAGTGGGGGATTAGCGTGCGGGAAAGACCCCAGCAGCTTCCGTGGCCTCGCTCCCCCACCAGGGCCCCCTTGCACTGCACTCCCCGTGGGCTCTGCCACACCCTCCTTCAGCCCCGGCCCGATGGACAGGGGAGTGCACGGGTCGGGGGGCTCAGTACCGGATGGGGGAGCTGGCTCGACCCTCCCCATGGACCCTCCCCTAGCCCTAACCCTCGGCTTGCCCCAACCCCTTTTGGAGGAGGGCGTGGAGGCCCAGAGTGGAGAGGGGCCTTCTGGTCATCAGCCCACCCAAGTGAGGCCGGCAGGGGTCTCGGGGGGATGGTTGCGCCCCATGCCATGTAGCCCCTCACAAAACCTGGGGAGTTGGAGGTAGCACTCTGTCCCCTTGACAAGAGGGTAAACTGAGTCACAAGTGCCTAGAGTCACATGACAGGAGTGGGTGGGGCCTGGGCGTATGTGCCTGGTCTCCACCCAGCAGGGTGCAGGGCGCGGATCCTAGACACTCTGGCAAGGGCTCTCCTGGGCAGGGTCGTGTGTGGGAACCCACAGCTGCCCTGGCGGAGATCGCGTGGCCTGTGCCCCGCCTCCCAGGCTCCTTCCCACCTGGAGCCTGCCTTTCAGGCTTCCCGTGAAGAAAGATCTCTCCCCAGGATTCCTCTGAACGCCACTCTGCATCCCTCCTGGGCCTTGTTGGAGCCCAACTCACGGTGGAGTCACCAAGAGGACCCTGGGGGCCGGGTGGGGTCTGCTCGCCCACCAGGTACCACAGGGCCCTGCCCAGCAGAATGTGGGGCCCAGAGACGTTGGCTGGTGCTCCGTGTCCCCCAGCCATTCCCTGCCAGGCCACCCTAATGTCTGTGGGGCCCAAGGCAAGGACTGAGCCCCCAGCCCGCCCCATTCCCCCTACCAGGGCCGTTACCTTGGGAGGGAGGGCCTCCGTGGTGGACACTCTGCCCACACCCCCTGGGCCTAGGGCTTCCCCCAGGGGCGGGCAGGGCAGGGGGTCGCAGGGATGTGGCTCAGGGGATTCTGGAGTCCAGGGACCTGAGCATGAGGTGGGCATGAGCTCGGGGGTCGTGTCCGCTCTACCCTGCAGACCCTAACACCTCCAGAAGAGGCACAGCCAGAGGCTGGGCTCCCAGACCCTCCTTCTGCTACAGACCTGGCTCTTCCTGGCGCTGTCTCCTGCCACTGGGGCCCCCTCGCCCCGAGGCTGCTTTGGCTCTTACTTGCCCGCTGGGCTGGAGCTTGGACTCCTGGGCCCGCTCCCTGCGCTTCCCTCCCCTGCCGCCCGGGGACCCCTCCCAGCGCAGGCCTTTGAGCAGGCGGCTGTGGCAGGGCCTGGGAGCCCACCTGTCTGCCTGTGCACCCAGGTGTTCCCTGAGGAACGACAGCCTCCGTCCCGGCCAGAGCTCCGGGGCTGCGCTAAGGAGGTCTCCTGGGTGGGCCGGGAGCGCTGACGATGACAGATGCGTGAACGCCGGCCCGTTACGTTGTTAATAAAGAATATCACACACACCTTCATCCGCAG